ACAGAAAATTGTTGCTGTAGAGTAATGGTTATTCAGGCTAGAGTATACATTATTAAAAAGGTCGAACATAGCATCATTTGTGCAACTGTTACTTAGACTCACTCTTAGACTTATTCTTCTAGTGCAGATCCATTAATGGATGTTTGTGATAGCATTTTCCATTGCTTCTCTGTTCCGGGCGGTGTGTATTAACGACTGAACATCGAGTAGCCCTGTTCACTGTCTAATATTCCTCAGCCAAGACATTTTCTTCCTTCCGATACCCCTCCGGCCATCGATCTTGCCTTCTATCAACAAATGCAAGAATTGATATTTGGGGTTTCCCATTATGTGCCCCAGGTATGCGGTCTTTTTCTTTTTAATCAATTCAAATAATTCACGCTCTTTGTCAACGCGTCTGAGAACTTCCTCATTTGTCAATCTAGCCGTCCAAGGTATCTTCAGGATTCTGCGATAAAGCCACCAATTTGTTGATGGTTTTCAAAAGCCTCCAATTTGTTGATGGTAGCTGCTTTCAAAGTCCAACCTTCCATACCATAAAGGAGCACCGACCACACATAACACTTTACGAATCTTAATCTAAGGCTAAGGTCAAAATCAGAACAGACAAGTACTTTTCGAAACCTCAAGAATGCCTGCCGAGCTTGTTCGATGCGACATTTAATTTCCTTATCTGATGTCCAATCTTCGGAGAGCCAGATGCCCAAGTACTTAAATTTATCTACTCTTTCTATGGGCCTTGAGTTAAATGTTAGGATGGGTTTATAAACATATCACAGGTTTCTGGATATAATCATAAAGCTGGTTTCTTGATGTTGATGTTTAAACCCATTGCTTTGCTCTGTTCTCGTACCTTGCTGACCAGTTGTTGTAGGTCGTGTATATTGTCTGCAATTAAGACCGGGTATCGTCGGCATATAGCCGGATATTATTAATCCACACTCCATTAACTGTGACCCCCATTTTCCACGCGTCCTCCAGAGCCCCTTGGAAAATAGCCTCTGAGTATAAATTAAATAGGTGGAGACAGCACGCAACCCCTGTCGCACCCCCCTTCTAACTTGTATGGGATTGGACATGGTATTGGACAATTTTATTTGTGCTGTTTGGTTCCAATATAACTTCTCAATGCATTGAATGTCTTTATGATCTATATCAAGTCTTTTCAGGAACTGCATTAATTTGTGGTGCTGTACGCGATCGAATGCTTTTTCGTAGTCTATGAAACACAGGCACACATCCCTTCTCTGATCGTAGCAGTTCTAGACAAGCACCTGTGTTGCAACTATCGCTTCCCTGGTGCCTTTAAGCCTTGTCTGAACCCCATTTGCGAATCGCTTATGTTTCTTTCACATTTGTTCAAGTATTTGTATCAGGTAGTAATTGTTAATTTTGAAATTTAACTTGTCATGTCATTTTAACAGAACGTCAACGGTTTGTGTAGACGTATCTATTTAAAGAAAACTATACTCTGATTTTTTTCTCAGGTAAGATTTCGACAGACGATGACAGAAGAAAAGCAGATGACGTCCCATACCAATCTATTTATTTTACTAAAAAAAGTTTCTAATAATTTTTAAGTTATCTATGGATGGGTTTAAATATAAATCCGTCATGCGTCGTGTCTTGTTGTTTTTAACCAGTTTTATTGGTTTTATTTAAAAATGACAGATCGTATTTCAATTTTATTGGTTTGACGGAACGATGGAACGATAAACAAGACGCCATTGCGTATGAACTCGCCTTTAGATTTTGTCATTTTTGACGCTTGTCATAGTCTTGCCAAATTATAGGTTATAATTTTGTGTCAACTTTTGTTAAATACCCTGCGTTTTGGAAGATGATGCAATTTGATTCGTATTATTACGTGTGTGTTTTGTGTCTTTTGAAGTGAAGTGAGGAAAAATCCAGTGAAAATTAACTGTAGACCCAGAGCACAGGTTTATGGTTAATACTCGCTGCCCAGGCAGAAAGTCTTATACACCCCATCGTTAAAGTTTGTATACCATCTCGTCGTATGATAAGTGCATCTCGTATATGGTAGAGGATCAACCAAACACATACTAAAAACTGGAGTAGCTGTAAAAATATCGACATCACACGATAAGGTAAAATAATGGATTTTAGTACTGCAGAAAAATAATGCCAAGAGGTACTGGTTTTAAAAAATTAAGATTAAAGTTAATTAATCAACCTTTAAGGTATAAAAAGTTGGTAGGTGTTATTATTAATAAAATAGTTTGTTTTATTTACCTATGTTCATTTTATTTATTCTTCTGTGGAATATTACAAATTTGTATTTGTACATAAGTTATATTGATAAATATAATCATAAATGCTAAAGGTAGTTTCATAAAGCTTGAAAGTAAAAATAGTTCTTTTTTATATTTTTTTTGGTATGTAGTGTCTTTTTTCTTGTTTGTTTTGTATTAACACATACCGGTTTTATTAAATAAAATAATTCGATTACATTTTTTCAGGTTTTATACAGTTTTTTCACAATATTTTGAAGTAATCACTTGTCATCTTGTCAATCAAATTTTAAATATTTCCTGCTATGCGTTCCAGTTGTACCAACTTATTTCTTTGTAAAATAAAATAAACTACTTTGAAATTAAAATGACAGACACATCTATCACTGTCAAGGATCTTCTCGTTGGACAGACTATAAAGTGTTGTCGAATAGTTGTATTTAGATATTTTAAACAGTTTTTTCTCTGTTCTTTGTGCTTTTTTGCTGCCGATCACGGAGAGATATATACGTTAAGCATTTTTTTGTCTGTTAGGCAAATTTATTTATTAGTAAACCATTGCTGACAATTAGTCTCTGTTGGATTAACGCAGCAGTGTTTACAAAAAATAACTATTTTATTTTGTAGACTTTCTTACAGTGGCGAAATACCCATAGGACTTTTTTTGGAGAAATAATTTTTAGGCTATTTCTTGTAATGTGTAATTTTAATGTACCTTTTCAATGTAGATACTTTTTTCTTCTATTGTATCTCGGTTAAAAAATGTTTTACGACAGAATAAATACCGTCAAAAACATAAAATCTAAAAAGATGCCAAGGCTCGCAACGCACTTCTTTCAGTACAAAAAGGTGCTTGATCACATGTAAAACCATGACAATTATTTTAGTATTTTATCTATGCGAGCAACTATTTAACAGCTTTGTTATAAATTATCTCAAAGAAATCTCTCAGGACTTACTACCGAGAAAAATCAAAGGTTTTTCTTGATAACAATCTTCGATCTGTCTCGGGGTTTTTAACAGGACACCGTCTCCTTAATGAACTGCTATTACTCGCTGACGAGTATATGACACGCATCAGAAGATGGTTACGCAAGGCGTTCTCTTTTATGAGCTTTTCTGTGACTGAAAAGCCCGATACGTGATGTTATTTGTCTACCGTACTTCGGACATTCAAAAATCTCATTGCTTTGTTGCCTCTTTACTTTTTGGGTGTCGCTGTTAACTGAGTTTACAATTCTTCTCCATTGTGTTCTATCGTGCGCTGCTTCCTCCCACTGACTCAAGTTTTCATGGAAAATATCCTTGTATCTTTTGAGTTCTCCACCCGGTTTCCTCTTTCCATGTACAAGCTCACCGTAAAGAAGAGATTTCGGTAGGCGGTTTTCTTGCATCCTGCATACGTGGCCAGCCGCTCTTAAACGGGATTTAGTAATCATGACGTCAGCGCTCTTGCAGCTAGCTTTTTTTTTAATTATATTACCAAGTGATTCATATTATATTCGACATTATTCAAACTTTTAGAATATTTACTTATCTATATTTTGCACACATTATAGGTATGAGTATTTATCAAAAAATGATCAGTAGCATTTTTCAATAAGTACACTACGAAAAATTCAGAATATTTTTAAAAAATACGGAAAATATTTTTTTTTGATAAAATAGAACGTTGTTATTGCTGTATGCGGTTTTGCGTCAAGGCTGTCTAAAACTAAAAATAAATGGAAAAACTTCGATTTTATGTAAAATACCTTTTACCGATAATTCGTAAACACAGACATAAAAAATTAATCATGACTTTTGCGATTTTTAGTATCGTTACTATTCTGGTATTTTCTGATATAGGAATTTTTCTGATTTGGAATTTTCTTGTATTTGTAATCACAACAATATTATTCAAAATTTTATTCTAATTGTCGTGGTTTACTTAAAAAATAATCACATAGCTGGTCTGTTTTTTTTCCGCAGGAGCAAAATATATCATCTCCAGTTATACCTACAAACAAACTAACTTTGTCAGTGGTGAAGAATCCTTGATTTACTCTTATGAACCCGAAAATAACGTTTGGGTTTTCCGAGATGAACCAAAACCGAGGGAAGTTACCCGTTCTCGAAGTGTTTCCAAAAAAATTATAGCGACATTTTCTCAAAAGCGGGTTATGGAGCAACAATTCCTCTGTAAGATCAAAGAATTGTTACTGCTGATTGGTACATATTACATATTATCTATTTGTTTACCGGAAATAATTCCTGAGTGCGAAAAATCACCCCTCAACGACAAATGATCCTTCACCAAGACAATGCAAGATCCCACACAGCTCGAAAAATAATTGATTTTTTAAGGCAAAGAACAACGTAAACCGAATTGTTGACATCCTCCATACAGTCCCGACCTAAGTCCTATCGATTTTTTTACTTTTCCAAAAATTTCAGCTCCCAGAGGATGCAGTTAGCGCCTACAAAAATGCAATTTTGAAGGTACCAACAAGAGTGGAACAACTGCTTTCAGAATTGGTTCTAACGGATTCAAAAATGCATTTCTCTTTGTAGAGAATTCTTTGAAAAACAATTGTGTTATTTATTATATCTTACAGTTGCAAACCTGATGAATTATATTGAATTTATTTTGCTAGTCGGAATATTACCCCTGTGAAACTCCAAACCAACTAAAAACAAACGTGTGCATTTATTGTATTTTAAATAAATCATTTCTACAGTTCTCCATATTTGTTTCTCGTTTTCCAGGTCTGGCTCCAGTTGCAGGAATGTGTACAGCTACCAGCAGCTGTACTGTAAACGAGGGACGTCATTTTGAAAGCGTTTACGTTGTAGCTCATGAGATTGGACACAAGTAAGTCTAAAAAAGTTGTAAAATAATTTAAATCGATTTTTTGCAAATATCAATGAATTAAGTAACGTCATAATGCATTATGATATTAATTAATGTTTTTGGATTATATGGAATTAAGTACTCCAGTAAAAGGAGTAAAATTTAGTTCATAAAATTCGATATACCGGGTGCGTCTCAAAAGTGGCTTACCCCTAAAATTTCAATATTTTTTCAGATAGAAAAAACGAGAATTTGTGTGTTAGTATATGACATAAATTAGAATTTATTGGACGTATTCAATTGTTTTCGGTCACTTCCTGTTTCACCGGAAATCACGACAACTTCTGATTTTTAAATAACACCCTCGGTATTTTTTTACTTTATTCGATATAAAATGACACTCTGAATAGAATGACATATAATATGTCAACTTTTGACCTTTTCGCTTAAACTAAAGTTGTATTTTAAATTTCATTCTTTAGTACCATGACTGTCTAAAAACCACTAATTTTTAATGAAGAAGCCTTGTCAAAATAGATTTGATTGCTTAATGTTTTTAGTGTCTTGTCCTGACCGGTTGAAAGATGCCCAAATTGTAATTTTAATCATATCTCATTTTTTTTCAAATGGAACGAGGATGGCTCATTAGCATATTTGGAAAAAGTATTTTTTTTCGATAATTTGCTATCACACACTTGGCATTTCGAGTCAAATTGTCGTTATGAACCGCATGTTTCAATTTCAAATAAACCATAAATATGCGAAAATATAAAAAGTTGACATATGATATGTCAATCTATTCAGAGTGTTATTTTCTATCGAATAAAGTAAAAAAATACCGAGGCTGTCATTTAAAAATCAAAAGTTGTAGCCATTTCCGGTGAAACAGGAAGTGACCAGAAACAATTGAATACCCCAATCAATTCTAATTTATGTCATATATTAACATACCAAGTCTCGTTTTTTATCTGAAAAAATAAAAGTCATAGGGGATGACACTTTTGAGACGCACCCGGTATAGAGCATGCAAAACTCTTAATATTTATCATGGAAAATATCCCAAAAAAAAAATCACTGTGCTATTATCGTGTATTGTTTAAATAGAACCTCCTAATTTAGTTTAGGAATGAGACATGATGGACCTCTAGCTGATAATGACTGTGATCCTAGCAGTTACATAATGTCTCCAACTCTAGGCAGTGGAAAAATTACTTGGTCATCTTGCAGTAAACGATATTTACAGAAATTTTTGGAGTAAGTACGTAATTAATACAATAACTTATAGTACAGAAAGTAAAGATGTTTTCATTGAAAAATGTTGTATTGGCCAGCACCTTATTAGTTTTTTTCTTCAACTTTAAAAAGTTTTTAAATTCGACTATTGAAGTCCTGGATAGTCCAAGAAAATAGGCCTTCAAATACGAATTTTTGGTACTTCAATTCATTTTTAGATATTTAAGTAAAAAAATACCTTACATCAACAATTCAAGTTTTTACCAAACATTTGTATTTGAAGGCCTATTTTCGTGGACTATGTAGAGTAAAATTGGATTAGAATTATTGATATTGATTATATTATAACTTTATCCTGTAATCGGATAAGTCTTGGGACGGATAAGTCGAATTATGTACTACATCTAAATATAAATATATTTCAGTACGCCTCAATCTCGATGTCTCCTGGACCATGGAAGTTCTGCCGGCCAATTGGATCATGGTGCTGAAGGTGCTCTACCAGGAGAAAGATTCAACTCGGATCAACAATGTACGTACATATTTATTTAAGTAGAGTCTGTAAACAGGGTGTAAATGAATAAGTGCGAAAAAGTAAAAACGAATAATAAAAAAATAAAAATAAATAACAAAAAGTAAATTTCACCTTTCCAATTTTTCTGTTTTAGTTGTAGTGCTGTATATGATCTTTTTAAGAATTTAGTACTCTTTGAAAATAGGTTTGTTAAAATATGGAAAAGGAAGCAAACATTCTTCCCAACAGCCTCTGGACGATGTGTGTCGTGATCTGCATTGTGAAAGGGAAAGATATACCTGGACTTCACATCCTGCTCTTGAAGGAACGCATTGTGGGATAGGTATGGTAAGTATGGTTATATATTATTGTCTTACTCATTAAGCACTATTCTATTTAAATTCAAGGCATTAACCCTTAAAACAATTAATACACACTTCCCTACATTTTTGCAAAGATTATCACAGAATTTTATTAACCCTGTATCTGGCAAGGTACTAAAAAATCTTTACAAAACCCTAAAAATGAGTTCACCAATAATATTTGTATAGAAGTAAGACTTATAAATGACTAGAATGTAATAATTTTTGATAGAAAATGACTTTTGAAATGGTTGCTCATGAGCAACATTGCCAAGTTATGGACATTTTTCTTTGTAGTTTGAGAGCAACAATGCCAGTTGAGAGAAGTTATTTTTGTGTTGATCAAATAGTAAAAACACATTTTTTGTTTATTTATTTTATTCAAAAATTCATATCAAAAAATGAATGGGGTTTTCGTAGATTTTTCCTAAACATATAAAAATATTTAAAAAAATATATCAAAACCTTTTTACAAAAAAATAACAAACTAAAACAAAATAAACATGCTAATTCTTATGCGTTTTTTGGTCATGGAAATAATAAAAGCAATTTTTAGATGGTGTCAAGCAGAGTCGTAATTCACATTTGGTGCAAAAAACTGTTGTGAAACCGCTTTTACAGTGTCTGCATCTTCCTTTAGCGTCAGCGTTGTAGGTAGGCCAATGTCCTAAACCATCGTACCGTGTTGCAATATCAGGTCTAGGAGTCGTGGGATTTACTATTTTCTCAGCAGGTTTCTTCCCGCTCATCGATTTAGTACGTCGTTGTTTGCCGGTGTTGGATAAAGATTTAGCTAATTCCATTTTGAACAACTTCAGCGGAATGGGCTTCTCCTTTAGAGCCTTGCAGTCATTTTGGTACAGAATCCAGGCATTATTTACGCATATATCAATAATCCATAACTATTATGCAGACGATGTTGCCTGTGAGCTACATAGAGTTTCAAACTAATTTTTCTTGAGATCTAGCAACTATAAGTAAAAAAAATATCCTACAGTCAAAGTTTATATTGTTATTTATGACATTTGTTACAAATATTAATAATCAAACGAACAGTTCCTACCTTATTTTGAATATTTTGCACGCAGATTCACGGCTGCAGCAGTCAGCTGGAGGCAAGTCACCATGATGAATAAATTTATTTCGCCAAATTGCCGCAAGGTGGTGGTATATATGCACGCCGTTTGTAAACAATGTATCTACCAGGCTACATTGACCGTAAAGCGTTAAACACAGCGGAAGATGAATAAACTAGTGCTCTCAGGCAATCTTGCCTGTGAGCAACAGTACCAGATATAGGGTTAAAAGATATTAGCATCTCAGTCTATGTACCTGAGTCAACGCTTTTTTTATGTTAATCAAGATAATAGTTTGTCTCCCACTTTCAAAGTGTTCTATTAACGTTTTATTTTTATCACTATTAGTGGTGTAAAGGAGGAAAATGTGTCCACAAGTCAACCAGGACCCACGAACCTTACAGCAGTGCACTGATACAATCTCCACAGTCTCAACAAATCAACGGAGGTTGGAGTAAATGGAAATACAGTGAATGCGCTTCTGGATGCTTATTTGGAGAGGAAGGCAGACTAAGAAGTGGCAGTACTGGAATTATGATTTCAGAAAGATTCTGTAATAATCCAAGGTAATATTGAAAAGTATCAAAGTATTTTTCTGTTGAGGTATTTATTATTGGATTTTTGGAACTGGGTCCTTCAATGGAGGTGTTGTTATGCCTGTGCCTCTATCTGTTTCTCCCTGCTCCAAGATTGGTTATATACATTGCTAAGCAAAAGTTAAAACTAAAATAAATTTATTTTAATTTGGTTTAAACTCGTTTTTTAAGTTTTGGTCATTTTATTCAATTCAAAACTTTCCGTTTTCTTCCTATAATCTTTTTTATTTAATCTGACTTGAATTAGGATTTCAAAATTATTTTTCTATTTAAATTTTCTTATGTTAAAGCCCTCATGGTGACGGTCAAAAATGCGATGGACCCGAAAAGAAATACCAAACCTGCAACGCTCAACAATGTCTTAACGTTCCTAGACTGACCATAAAGGAATTTGCCGAACAAATTTGTACCAGAGCCAAAGAAGTGGATAAAGATTTGACTGGATCTGGTATGCAGAAGATCAGTTCAGATGGTAAGCAAAGTATTTTTGATAATTATCAACCAATTTCACATGAGTTTTCTTTGTTATTTTCATAATAGCTGAAGAAGCATGCGTGGTGTGGTGCCAAAAACGAAATGGTGGACCAAAAAGCAGAGGCTGGACCTTTCCAGATGGTACAGCTTGTCAAATGAGAAGAACTAAATATGGTGAGAGAGTTATAGTAACATAAAATATCATAAAATGACGAGCTTTTAAAGCAGTAGTGCTGAGAGAAAACAATAATCAAATTTCTTCTAAGTTCCGTCTTCTAACGAAGGTTGGAAACCATCACGCCAATGTGGAGTTTGTACCTACCTTTAGAACTACCATTCTAAAGAAGCCTTCTTCTTAAGCCAAGAAATTTTTCTACTTCCAACAGACCTCTGATTTTCTTGAATTGCAAGTTGCAGCAAAGCATATCAATAACCTCTCAGAATATGACCAAAGTATTAGCGTTTTCTTCTTTTATTATCATTATGATCTCTGGTTCTTTTTCTTTTCCCACACTCTCAGCAAGTTGTCTAAAATAATATCGCGTCGCTTGATATTTTGTAAGATTTGTCAATAAAATATAATACATTATTAAAATCCTCAGCTGGAAGATCGAGCTATTGTATCAATGGTCGCTGTGAAGACTTCGTATGTGATCCATTTGAAGAAGCTGTTTTCACACAAATGCCTGATGTATGTCCGGTAGATCGAGACAGTAACGAGATTAATTGGAGAACAGGTAAATATTGATGCATGTATCACAGTAATTATGTAATAGATAGTATTGTGATAATTACTATAAGTGTTTCATAAGGATTACGCCGACGAGAAGGTGCAATAAGGTGGAAAAGTGCCAGTGGGTGTCATTACAACTGCATGTCTCCTGGATCGGGAATAAGACTGGTTTTGAATAAGAAACTTGGAAAAAGTAGTATCCAGTTGTGCCAACCAGACCAATTTGTAAGTTCCTATTAACCATGTATTAACAACTTTTTTATAGATTACAATGCTTATTTTTTAGTATTATTTATATAAATTGGTTAAAAAACAAGTTTTAAACGATATTTTGTTAAGAAGTCTATTCGGAAATGAGTGTTTCCTCTGTCGCTTTAAATCATTGCTTAGTTGAATTACGCCTCAATGATGACCCTATATTTGTAAAACAAAAAGGAAAGCTTAGTTTTTGTCATTTCAGTAACTAGGGCTCGTAACTAATCCAGTTATGCACTAACGATCCACCTTCAATATTCCATAGACTTTTTAGTCCAGTTCAGTCATTTGAGTGTAGGTCAGTTTTATTTTATTCAGATTTCGGGCTTGGATACTTTTATTGAAATTGTTGGTGATTTTATTGTATCCTTATTATTAAAAATAAATAGTTACATGATTGAACCAAGTGGATTTTTCAAAATATTTAATAATAAAATTATTAACAGTTGCTGTATTTTCAGTTGCTGTTTTTTACGGCTATCCTGAACTGTGGCAGGCCTGTTAAATGTCATGTATTTTGATGATGAAAACTTACTGATGACGGTTTTTTTTCTGTTTAAGGACGAAATAAAAATAAAAAACATAGAAAATGGTAAAACTGTTTTGTTTAAAAATTTAGTCATGTCTCATATACAGCAGGAATGCACTTTAGAGGGACCTCGCAAACCAGAAGAGATATAAAGATCATTATATTTGAGAAAAGTTGTGCCCCTCTAAAACCCACACTATTTGAAAAGATGACAAAAAAATGAAAATTCCATTGCCACTTTTCCTGCAAATGTCGTTTAAATTGTTATTTAAAGACAATCATTATTATATAAGAAGATATTTTATTTTATAATTCACCATTGTCTCATTCAAACATACATTTTTCAGTTGGACAAATTATATGAAATTATGGAAAACAATTGTGGGAGCACTATAATCCTTATCAATTTAATAGCTGTTAGTCTATAAGAAGCTGTTAGTAAAAAGTTTCACTTCATATACAGTGTGTCAATTTTAAAACTTCCCACCCTTAATATCTTTCTTGCAGTTAAAAATATGAAAAATCGGAAAGACACGACAATTTTATTAGTAAGGGGGATACTTTAAATGAATATTTTTGGCCTTTTTCTTTCAACCCCTTAGGAGGGGTAGATGTCACCGTTACAATCTTAAATGGGAATGAGGGTCAAGTGGCACATCGTTTAAAGGACATTTAATTATCTTTTCAGCGGTATCCTACTTTGTTGCTTTTTGTCCAGAGAGAGAAACATGCCTGCATTGAGATTTTGGTTTTCAGGCTAGTGTGTGTTTACACAAAAATTATTGCAGTGGATCTCCTTGTAGTACAAGTGATTAGAAGATTAGGTGGCAACATGGACGTAGCCATTACATTTTTCTAGGGGGTCGAAATTCGAAATACTAATAAACAGAAAACATCATAAACATTAACGTTTCCTTTCTCAAATTCGAATGAGTGGCAACCTCTAATCAGTTTCACAGGAGGAATTGTTAACATTCCAGCAGGAAGGAGCACTGTCCAGCTCATTATTTTTTTCCGGTCCGACAGTGGTTAAACGAGAGATTTGCAGGTACATTGATTGGCAGAGGGGGACCAATTGAATGGCTTTCAAGATCACTTAGACATTTTTTTGGGAGGGGGGACATCTTAAATCCATTGTTTATAAAACACAATCTACTGATATTGATGATCTTAAAAGGCGAATTACAGCAGAATGCCAGTCAATTCCCGGTGAAATTTTCCGAAATGTTAGAGAGGTGTTTGAAAACAGACTTTATAACTGTTTACGGGGAAATAGACAACATTTAGAACAACTTATAAGATAGGGCGTAAGTGGTGTAACCTAATCTTCTAATCATTTGTACTACAAGGAGATCCATTGCAATAACTTTTGTGTAAACACTAACCTGAAAACCAAAATCTGGCACGTTTAATTGTTTCTGCACCTTTGAAACGCGATTATTCGGAAGCCTCTGGAAAAAAAGCAATAAAGTAGGATACCACTGAAAAGAGAATTAAACGCCCTTTAAAACGATGTGCCACTTGACCCCCATTCCCATTTAAGATTGTAAAGGTGACATCTACCCCTAATAAGGGTATTACAGTTGAGGGTTGGAACCTTTGGTGTTAAACAGCAAAATAAAAACACTAAATCACCACAATACACCAAAACACTTTTACTTTTACACTGGACGCGCGCTTCGCTAACCATGTTAGCATCATCAGCAGATGATTATAAACTAAAGTACAATCTACAAGTTGGGCGTTTATATACTCGCCCAGTGGGCACCGAGTGGGCGTGGCAAAAACTAGCCAACCGAGTCAGAGCCAACTGAGCGTAACAGTTAGATTTCCGCCACTAGAGTAGTAGTATGTACACCGTACAAATAAAATTGACGTGTCTTTCCAATTTTTCATATTTTAACTGCAAGAAAGATATTAAGGGTGGGAAGTTTTAAAATTGACACACTGTATATGAAGTGAAACTTTTTACTAACAGCTATTAAATTGATAAGGATTGGAAACACATGTTTGAAAAAGTGTAGTTTGAAATGTTAAAAAAGCAATAAATTAAAAATTAATAAATAATTTGATTCACTTTCACAAAATTTGTATTAAAATGTCCGTCTGAAGACTCCATTTGAGTACCACTATCCACGTGCCAAGTTTGGTTCCAATCGACCCATAATTAAGAAAATTCCTGATGCTTTCGTCCATTTAGAGGCATGCAGCGGTTCGAAACGTTGAGGTCCTCAGTCTGTAGTCCGTCCCCAATTATGCCGAAATTGACCCACATTTTTCTTCAATGTCAAATCGTTAGTCTCACCCTGATGAAGATGTAAACGAAACGTCGTATCCAACTCTGCAGGGTAGGACCGTGTGCACCGTCGCTGACAGCCTACCAAATTTGTTTTTTTTTACTTGATTAACTAAATAATAAAATGTTTATCTGAAACACAATGTCAAAAATAGCTTTGTTTCTAGGGTTGTGGTAAAGTCAAGACATCATTTCAACATGCCTCTATAATATGCACAAAGTATAAGGACAGAGTTAGACGTCTCTCAGGATTGGGCATGCAGATATCTCCCTCATTAGGTAACACAAGATTTTATCTAAATATTATTAAGTTAATACTTCCTAAAGAAGATATAAATATACTAATAATCAAGAAAATTACTGTTAACTAATAGCCTTGTATATATATTTTTATATAAACAAGGATAATAGACAGTGTCTAAACAGTTTTTCAACAATTTTTTTCAGAGGATCCAGACAGACCATGCAGGGTAGCATGTCAAGATGAAAACATTTCGCACAGATTTTATTTAGTCAATGGAGAAGACGGTTGGTTTCCGTTCGGCACAGATTGCTCAAAAGGATCTACAGAAAAGAAGGCGTTTTGTATAAGTGGAAAATGTCTTGTAAGTATTATAAGTCAATTTTAAAACTTTTAAAATTAACGGATCATAAATTTTTCAATAATATCAAGAATGTTTTATGTTACAGTGTAACTACATTAGTTTAAATTAATTTTTAATATTATTATAGGCTTTCGGATCGGACGATACGCCACTGTCGGAGAGCGAATTTACATTACCTCTTCTTTCTCGAAATAAGAGATCGTTAGAAAAGAACAAGACTAAAGTGACTGTTAAACTAAACCAAGAAGAATTAGATGCAATTGTAGAAAGATTTAATAAGACCTTATCAGGTAAGCGTGAAAAATTTTGACAGAATAATATTGATCGAAAAAAAAATTGAGAATGACCTCGCCAAAATTATCATCGATTACCATTCCCCAGCCGTCTATGACGCCGTTTTTTTTTGATCATACGGTATAAGGCAATCCAGAAGTAGGTAACTATATTCTGTCCATCGAGAGAATCCATATGAAGTGACAGTTGTGTATGTCCTTTTAGACTTTTAATTCACAGTATTCAAAATACCTTGAGAGCGGTTGCTCATAGCGATTTTTGCCAAGAGAACTTTTTACGTAAAAAATGACGGAAATTAATATTTTTTTCAACCTCAGTAGTGTAACATAGGTACGAATGTACGAACCAAAAGTTATTACTCTTCAAAACAGTTTAACCTTTCCGGGACCGTGCTACAAAAAGTTACGTTTCAGGCCGTGTGGGGTAACTAAGATACCCCACTGAAATATTTCAAAAACTGTTAACATTTTGTCACTCAGGTAAATTATTAATAATTAATTGTAAAGTTCTATAATAAAACATCAATAATTTGTATTTGTTTAATATAAAAAAAAAACATTTAATTTTAAAATTAAATTCTTATTCATTTTCTACATATTATTTTGGCAGTCAGGACATAAAAACGTTTTACATTATTTGCGGTGAATATTAAAAATGTTTTTCTTTGCAGGTACTACATAATATTTTTGTTTTTCTGTTAAGTGATCTGGCGCAAAAGCCGCATCTTCGGCTTGAATTTGGTTGTGAATCTCTTTAGCAGGATTTATGGAAACTGTGCTTTCGGCAAGAAATAAATATATTGCTGTTTTTACAGTTCTGGGAAAATTGTTGTCATTTTATTTCCTTCTTAAAACGTTTAGAAGTACAAGTTTGCGTGCAGAATTCGAATCGAATTCAGCAGGAATCTCTTTTTTGATAGCCCGCATCATCAGTATATTCCTTTTGCGCAATTTTCCAATAAATACACAGTAAATGCCAACACTAAACTAAATACAGAACTTGTTTACGTCGTCATACAAGTCACCAACACGAAAAAAACTTGAATAGTGCGTGTAGGATTTCGAATCACTGCAGGCCGTGCGGGGTAACGGAGGTAACCCAGGCAGTAAATTGCAGTTTTTCGCTAAAAATAAAAAAAATATTTGGATATTTTTGTTAAAAAAGGGTTTTGTATTATATTTTCTAGGATTACCTGAAAGGAACAAAGTGAGAAATAAAAACTGTAAAAGTTATTGAAGAAAAAACGCATCTGGGGTACCTGAAATACCCCGCACGGTCCCGGAAAGGTTTTAAAAATAAGTAGGTGGCGTCAAGTAGGAGCCATACCTACTAATATTGAAATCAAATTTATCATGTAAAAAACATGATAAACAGCCAAACACCAATTTTCATCCAAATGTCGTTGTTAGTTCAAAAATTATTTGAAAAAAAAACTAAATAAAAATTAAACTTCTACACCCTGTATCTCCGAAACGAAGCATTTTAAGACATACATTTATACAAACTTTTTTACTGACTCTGCAGAGTGTTGCCGAAGTTCCCTATTACAATTCGGACCACCCTGTATATTTTTAACGTATTTTATTTTATAAAGTACCTTTATTTACGGATTTACCATTTTGTCACATATTTTTACTGTTCTATATTATGTAAACTGTATTCTTGTTGTTATTAACATTAAATTATATATAAAGCGCATTTACCATATTAAGAATTACTTTTATAACCTAAAATATATCTAATTTAAAAAGAAATAGACTTCCAAATGTACTAACCTTAGTCCTGTTTCAGGTTTTACTGATCATTCCATGAAGCTATTTGATATCGACCTAGATAATCCCGTACACATTCATAAAGACACTGGAATCACACCATACAGCCAATATGGACAGGACTATGACTATACAAACCCAGAAGACATGTTAAATTATGCCTAAATAGTAGGAATTATACATAATATATATAATTAATATTTATACAACTTTTTGTAATTAGAAAAATATTTTTATTAAAAAGTTTTATAAATTCTTTTGTACTACAATAAATAATTTAAATAATATTAAAAATATTGGGCAGTTCTTTTCTTGAAATCCTCCTCAGCTTGCTTGATAAGAGATTCGATTTTGGCCGCATTTGTCAGGAAGTACATCCAGAGTTGTTTCATGGTGGTCTGTGCTTTTGTAAGCTTTTTACGCTATAATAAATTGTGTTAAACGCATAATAAAGAAAAAAATATTCTAGATTCTAGAATATATTCTAGATGTTTCACCAATATACAATTTATCACATTCACATGGTTATTTCATATATCACATTTCATTCTTTGCTGTTTAAGGTTCACTAGTGAATGTGACAAATTTTTATAATAATTATAATTTTCATTCACCATTTTGTCATATAAGATTTAAAAATTGGTTATTTTCAAAAATAAAAACCTACAAAAAATCGAAATAAGATTCGGAAAATTAGTTTTTATAAAAAGTAACAAAATAAGCATTTTTACTCAATTAAAATGTCTCTCCAGAAACTACACGAAGTTATGTAGTTAAACCTTTAAATTAAAAACCTTTTATTTGAAGGACAGAATTATTAGATATTAGTGTCACCATTTTGTCATTAATTATAATAAATTGACCGTTTAGAAAAATAAAAATCCACAAAATCTTTAACAATTTAAATTGTTAATACGATTCTATTTTGATTCGGCAAATTAAAGTTACTACTACTACTGCCATTACTAACTGACGAGTATTTGACACGCATCAGAAGATGGTTACACAAGGCGTTTTCTTCCATGAGCTTTTCTGTGACTGAAAAGCCTGATACGTGATGTTATCTCTTTTTCGCACTCCAGGCATTCAAAAATCTCATTGCTTTGTTGCCTCTTTACTTTTTGGTTGTCGCTCTTAACTGAGTTTACAATTCTTCTCCATTGCGTTCTATTCCATTGCGCTGCTTCTTCCCACTGATTCTGCATGCCTATTCCCTTTAAGTTTTCGTGGAAAATATCCTTGTACCTTTTGAGTTGTCCACCCGGTTTCCTCTTACCGACTACAAGCTCACTGTAAAGAAAAGATTTCGGTAGGCGGTTTTCTTGCATCCTGCATAAGTGACCAGCCCATCTTAAGCGGGATTTAGTAATCACGACTTCAACGCACTCGCAGCTAGATTTTCCAAGGACCAATACGTTTGGGACCATTTGAACCATTTGATTCTCAAGAGTTGTCTAAGGTGTATCTGTTGCAACTTAATATGGCGCCCATGTTTCGCTTCCATATAACATGGTGGGGATTATTATTGCTCGGTATACTGGAAGTTTCATTTTTGTGCTCAAGTCATGACTGTAGAAAACCCTGTTTTAATTTCCAGAATCCTCTTGAGGCGCTGCTAATCCTGTGCTGAATTTCAGAGTCGCTATTGGCCTTTTCCAAAATCAAACTGCTGAGGTAATTGAATTCCGCTACATATTGCAGTATTTCTTCTCCAATTTTTATAGCATTGTCTTCTGGGGGAGTGCATATGATTTTAGTTTTATCTCTGCTCTTTTACTTTCTCCTGTAGTTGGCGAACGAAGAATATGGAATGGTTATGAATATGGTTCCGCGGTTGGTGCGATAAATTAAAGTTATATATTATACATTAAAGTAATATATTATACCACAGACTATACCGTGCTGGCAACTGTTACTTTTGGGTCGGTATTTACATGTGTGGAAGTAAATCGCATAGGGATCTTATTAAGTCGGAGTGAGAAGAATGTGACGGTGTGCTGTTGCGGCGTTGCCGGTACGCCTTTCCCTATCAAGTAAAGTAAAATCACGATCGCAAACCGCTTATTTTTAAAAGACTTTTTTTCGAAAAGATATCTAGATAAAATCATTAGATATGTTTCTGAGCATCTGAAATGGAATTATAAGGATATCGTTACGGTATCCATTTTTTTATAATGAGAAAACGTCAGTAAACCCGATAATTTAAAAATTCAATTTTAGAACATATAACACGCTATAATTTAAGAACCAATTTAGATATCGAAACTTTTTTTTATTTTCAAGATTGGATCTTTTACAATATGTTTAAATAAGAAAAATTCGATAAGGTGGTTTTTTTCCGTTCAAAAAATTTAAACACATCCATTTACTTTTAGTGCATAGCAATTTTCAGCAATCGTAACTTTTTTATCTATAAAGATTTTCACATACTGTCTGCGAAGAAAATATAGCAGAAATATTAAGAAAGTTTTTGAAAAAACTACAGTCAATAATTATTCAGAGTTCAGAATCTAATAGCGCGACCACTGTCGAACACCAACTCAATTCCACTTATTTTTACCAAAAATGCAAGTGTTTCTAACTTGCACTTAAAAATGTTTAAGCAATTGTCAATAAATAAACAAATAAAGTATCACGAGACGTAATTAAATCGTGAAGCTGATCGGATGATATACACCTTTTCCTAAAACGTACTTAAAAAGTACTGACAAAGGTACTGACTGGGTCGACCAGTCGACTGCGACAAACTTGCTATATCCCCTTCCACGTCTCTTAGCAATGTGCACAGTTCCTCGGTTTATCTCATACGTTTGGCAACGTGTTTACTAATCTCTCTTTGTTCAGTACATTATAAACGCATTGTACTCTTTTTACATACGGAAATCTCGACCCAACACTAACATTTGCCAGCTCTTAGGATATTCAATAAATAAAGTAAACATTCTCATTACTATTCATATAAACTACATAAAAACAATACAAATTTTTACAACTTACCGTTCTTTGAGGAATCTGCACTGCACTTTGAATAGCACTACTTTCTTTTTTGATATGTTCTTCAATATCCAACCAGGCATTTTTCAACTCCATCGGCACCAAAATAATCTGTTTTGTCGGTCCAGATTTTAAAAATTTCTCCAAAACTTTTATATCTTCATTTCTAAAACATTCATATTGACAGTCAAGTAAAAATAATAATGTAACAGTATACAGGGTGTCCAAATATTTCGTAGATATTAAGACAACTACATATTTTTGGAATCAAAATAAGTTCATTGGACACAATTTACTACCATAATGTTAAAGCACTTAGCAAAACATAGACACCCAATATCTCATTCAAATCGGAATAACAGTTCCCCAAGTAGCATTTTCACGACTTGCGACCACAGATTTACTAAACACAACGTTGGATTAGTTACAAAAAATAGTTAGCTTCGTACCTTGGGTATTAAAATAAATGAAAACGTTGTTGTAACGTTGTGCCGACGTTGAACTAGTATTACAACAAAGTAAAAGCTTCTGCGACGTCGAATAAACGTTGTCTTGTAACCTTTTTTGCTTAAGTGATCTTTTAGGTGATTCGGAGAACGTAGTTAAAATGTTGGGCATAAAGAGTTTTCCGACGTCGCTTTCAGGACCTATTCCAACGTTATGCAAACGTCGTCTGTTTTACTAATTCCAACGTTGTTTAGATTTCCTTATACTTACGTTGGTACGACGTCAAGCCACTACCTTTTTGCAACTGTATTGAACCATAACCGTAAATCTTAAATTTTCACTTCATTGTTCTGTTCAGTCAGACAGTTCGGTGCTGTTTTTGTTTTTATAAAAAAAAAATAATTAAAATGGAACATAAGAAAGGTACATATAAAACTAAATTTAAATATACATCGACATATTACCGATCCTTTATCCACTCCCTCGTTTATTTAGAATATAGAGGGCGGCACAAGATAGACTCTAGGATGACTAAATTAGGCAATCTTGCGACTAGTATACTACCTGTTAAGGATGAACTGCGACTTTATTAGTCCAGTATGCGACTACTCGAACTACTCCATCTTAATCTCCAAAACAACACAGTGAAAGCCGTCATGTTGTTGAATAAGAAAATGTTTCGTTCCCAAAATAGCAATTCCTGCTTTTAGAATACATTAACTTGAAATATTTGACCCTAAACAACACGCGGAAACAATTTTTTCGACTGCGAATAAATTATTCTCGTTTTACTAAAAAAAAATTCAAGAATTTTTTTAAAACTTCTTTAATTTTAAGGCCCATTAGTATTTTTCAAAGTAGAAACAATACATTTATCAATAAAGTTGTTTGCGTTTAACTTTTTTGCCTTGGGTAACGAATTACAGAGTCGGTTAAAGTGTTTCAATAATTATGATCTTCAACCAAACCACACTTAAATACTTTTGTTTTGTTTTCCTTTACTGCCATCTGGCATATGTCTCTAACTAAATCATAAAAATAATATTTTTACTATAATTATCCCAATTTAGGATAAAACGCGACTTAGACGCCATATCTTAAAATATCTGAGAAATTGTGTTTATTTTTTAAAGTTTGATACCCTCTAGCGGACAAAAGAAGCACTTTTGTATAGAGGTAAATTGTGTCCAATGAAGGTAGTTCTATGTCCACGAAATATATATATTTGGACAACTTGTATATCTTTGTAAATATATCCATATATTTTTTTCCTTTTCTTGGATATGAGGTTTTTTTAATAAATTGAAAGATGGAAACTTTTTTATGCGACGTTTCACTTTATTCTCAAAACTTGAAGTCGCCTTGCTTAGAACCAGTCTTGCTTAGAACCATAAAAAAAGTTTCCATCTTTCAATTTATCAAAAAAAACCTCATACCCAAGAAAAGGAAAAAAATATATGGATATAATCTAAAGGTTTAAGAAAAAAGAAACAGTTAAACTATTTGTAAATATACTTACACATTTTTAATTCTGTTAATTTCATCGTTAATATTCGTACAAAATATCTGACTTTCCAAAGCATTTATTTCAGCCTTAAATTTTTCAAAGCATTTGTACGTTTCCTTCAAGGTATATTCGTTGCTATTTAAAATTTTCCCTATAAATGTCATTAGTAATGTTTTAGAGGTATCTGAGGAATTGTAAGAATCGGTAATATCTCTCATATGACTCTGCAAGAGTACATTCAAATATTATTAATACAAAAGAATTTAAAAAAAAACTTACAGTTCTCTGTTGACATTTTAATAGATCTTCATTGACATACCGTAAGGTTTTTTGATATAAATTATTAATATATTCAATATCTTTCTTATCCTCACACTGTAAACAATTAGTGAGTGTAATAAACGACAACAATTTCACAACACATTCCAATATGTTGAATATATTCAAATATTTCTTTCTATAAAAAAAAATATTCAGAATTTTTTCAATATTATTTAAAAAAAAATCTTACTGATAGTCCTCAAGCTCACTTTGGACATATCGAATTCTAGTTTGCTTTAAATAACGATCGGTAATTTTTAAAACAATATTATCCAAGACATCGTAGAGTCTACTTTTGTATATTTCTTTGGCGTCGTTACTTGTTTTATCATTTAAAAAACTGGTACTAAAACAAGAAACAGATTTTTTTTTCAAAATATATTACTGCAAAATATAAAAACTTACTTAAGAGAATTTCCATTCCTGCATATTTGGTCTAAAAAATGTTCCACTTCTTTGTAAGACTCTATTTCTATTTTATTCCCAAAGTATACTTGGTGAGATTGTATTAGTCTATAATTAATTAAAATATACAGGGTTATTCACCACAAACAACACAGAGTATTGTAGTTAAATTATTAGATTTTTACAAATTGTAAGTTTTGGGTTTGTTGAAGGACTATTAGAGCTACAAATTAAAAATATTTTTACAAGATACAGAGACTCCCAAATAAATAAAAAATATTATAGTTTTTTTGTTAAATGGAACACCCTGTATGTTATTTTATTTTTAGACACTACAATTAAAATAAAGGCAAATATGTCAATAAATAAACTTCAGTAAATATTTAGAAATATTTTCAATTTTGCGAAATTGTAGTAAAAATTTTAAGGCTTCATTTCTACAAGGGTATGAAAGTTTTTAATGCTAAATATTTACCGAAGCTTATTTATTGATTGATATCATGTTGTAATAATAAAAATAATACTACCTTATACAGAGTGTCTAAAAATTTATATTAAATAATTACTAGCTTTAAACGGCAATAGCTTCTTTAATTTAAATGAAACAGCCTGTATATTTTACGAGAATCAGATACACAATTTAACTGTCTATCAAATTTTTTACCTATCTCTTCAAAATTTCGTAGAAAATTCATTTTCTTCTAATTTAGACCTCATTTATCAAGATACCCATGGATTGAATATTCACATCTCAGATTTTTTTAAAGCAACAAATGGTACAAAATGTACAGGTGCTAAAAACGATAATATGTTTACAAAAAGAAAACTATTTAAATCTTTGTAAAAGAGTGTACCAATTAAATATACCATCATTATTTCGGTGCAAAAATTACTTACATACTTAACTGTTATAGTTAATAAATTATTCTAAATAAATGTGGATTTGAATCAGACATCAATACAATAATAAGTTATGAAAATGAACGGCTCCATTGTTATAAATAAGCATTTGTCAAAAAATGAAATAAAATTTATAAGATGTTTCTTTTTTATCACACTGTCTATAATAATACACCTAGAAAATTCAGGTTTTTAGTATCTGGAGCAAAATTATTATTAATCAACGCAAACAGTCAATTAATGTAGTTTAAATACTGGTATCATATTAATTGGTCCTCTTTAACAAACATTTAAACAGGTTTTTTATATTTTTTTAATAAAATAGGCGAATTATACATAAATTAATGGATTAATTTAATATAATAAATAAATATATAATAAATTAAGTTTATTTACAGAATTTTTACAAAAAAATAGAAAAAACAAGAAAATACAACAAACATAAAAATAATGGAAAACTCAACAATCAATAATCAACAGTAGCGTACAGCACCAATATAAATTAAAATTAAATTAAAGTTAAATCTAATATAGTATCGACAATATTAATATATGTACTTTTTGAAAATTTGGTACATCTTTAAAAGTTATCTAAAATGTCAATATTCCATGGGTATATTGATAAATAAGGTCTAAATTATAAGAAAATGCATTTTCTAGGAAAACTTAAAGAGATAGGTAGATAAGGGTATAAAACAATTTGATAGATAATTAATATGTGCATCTGATTCAAGTAAAATATACAGGGTTCCATTTAAATTAAACAAGTTATTGCCGTTTAGAGCTAGTAATTATTTAATATAAATTTTTAGACACTCTGTATAAGATAGTATTATTTTTTTTTATATCAACACAATATCTGACCAATAAATAAACTTCTGTAAATATTGAGCGTTAAAAACTTTCATACCCTTGGTAGAAATAAAGCCTAAAAATTTTTACTACAATTCCACAAAATTGAATATATTTCAAAAACAGTAAGGCTTAAGTGTGATAAACGTTAACCAAATTTACCTTTATTTCAATCATAGAATCTAAAAATAAAATAATATATGGGGTGTTCAATTTAAAAAAGAATACAACTTGATATTTTTTATTTAATTGGGACACTCTGTATCTTGTAAAAATATTTTTAAATTGTAGCTCTAATAATCCTTCAACAAACCGGGCCAAAACTTACAATTTGTAAAAATCTAATTGTTTAGCTAAAATATTCCGTGTCGTATGTGGTAAATAACCCTGTATTTATTTTTGTATAAAATTTATTTTTTACCTTTTCTTGCACGTTTCTAACGAGTCTGAAAAGATATCATCTGAAATTTCTAGACAGCTTTTATCAACTTCCATCAATGGCATTAAAAGTGAGTTAAAATACTCCATATTTTCTTCATACTTCTTAATATCAACGAAATTGACAAACTGTTGTTCTGGATCCTAAAATTCATCAAATATTTCAAGAATTATTCTTTGAACATTTTTAAAAAGTATGTCTTACATATTTGAGAAACCTTGCATGGATTTTTTTAACTGTTCCATCCAAGGTATTGCATAACTCTTCACATTCCTCTTGAGAGTTTCTACATTCGACCGATGACTGTATATCCATTTTGGTTTTAATTGTTAACTTTGTAGACAAATCATTATCCAGTGTTCTGCAAAAATATCTGGTGTTACAGAGGTTTCTTAGATATGGAAAATTCTTACTCGAAAACTTTAATCAGCTGATCTGTTCTTCTGCTATCCTCCTCTAAGAACCGAATTTCATCCTCGATCAATGCTATTTCTGACAAATTCTGATCCAAATCTAAAATATCAATGTAACTGGGGTCTAATTCTGAGAGCTCGTTCAAATAATTTTGCTCATCTACTTGCTCTGGTAGTTCATCAAACCTATAGAAAGACATAAAAATACCTGTGAAGAATTCGTATCTTTACTTACTCAGTTTTTTCTAACGGCGACACATAGTTAACATCTGATAGGGATTTACAGAGGAAATTTAATAAATTCTTAGTGTTCTTGCAGTCTGTATCAAACCAAGCTTTTATCACGTTTGGATTTAATTTTCGTAAGTCGACGTTTAATTCTGCAAACACTTCCAGTAGATCATCGCCGTTACAAATCGACATTTCGCTTTTAAAATTGTTTTGTGGAACAATGTTCATGCTCATAGACAAGAAATATTACTGGGACTGAGATCATACATAGAGAAAGGCAATAAAACGTTTTTACTTTGTTACTTTTTGTTAAAAGTGATCTAATAATTACTTTACGAGTTCGTTCACGTAAAAACCGACTTTTTTGAATTGAAAAACCTAACCTAATTTTCGTTTGTCAAATTATTTGAAATTATTGGTCAAATTTAAAAGGATTTTTCGATGGTATGCAACTAGTAAAATACGTTTGTACCAAATGTCAACCCTTGTCTAAATAGGTTTCAACTATGGTTTCAACTTTATTTTCATAATGTAATGATTGTCTGTAATATATAACCATGTAATAAATAATAAAAATATAACAGAGTTGAAAAAATGAGCAATGTTAATTAAACAATTTAAAAAATAATAATAGTGTCCATCTATGTCTAATGTCTAATTTCTAATTAAACGATTTTGAGATTTAAGGTGCTAAAAAATATTAGCTACCTATATTTAATCAATTGCTCATTTAGATTCAAATAAATTTCACCTTTTATTCTATTCTTATTTTAGTATTTTCAAAACACACATTTTAAAATGATGAAGAAGATTTTGGCACAATTTCAGAATTGTGGAAAATTCTCTGTCTAGAAAGTCTAGAACTTCTAGCGGCATAGATATGTATCGCTTCACCGCTAAACAATAAATATACGATAAATTTAGTCTTATATTTTACTTATTTTATATTATGTTTTAAAAATTGTCAGCTTTTTCAAAGAATAAAATAAGATGATATTTTATTCCATTATAAAATAAACTTTGCAAAAAAATAAAACTAACTTAAACAACTGCAGTATTAATTGTAAATTTAAAGATTATTGTGATCATTAGGCTGATTTTAGTAATTTTAGTTGATGTTATGAAATGATGTCTGAAATTTCGGGGAAAATCTTGGATTTAGGTAAGTTGTCCTGGATCCTATATAAAATCATTATACTGTCTCGGAAAGCGCAAATCAAATGATAAAATCAAATGTTATATAGTTCAAAAAGTAAAAAAAAAACACCCGGTATGCTTAACGACATAATTCCATTACATTTTCCGATTTAGGTTCGTTTATATCTAATTATTTACCTTCATTTATGATAAAAACAGCTTCAAAGACTGCTGGGGAAAAGACAATCGAGGATAATTTTGGAGAGGTCAATCTCTCGACGCCATTTACTAAAAACTGTCATTTGCTCGTGCTTTTATTTCCCCGTTCCGAATTTAGCTATGACAATCTAGCAACCCTAGTTAGTAGTAGTTTTGTTTTACGGCCACAGCTCCAGGACTACCCGGCCGGGTGATAGAATATCTATCCTTAGTTGAGTGGTCTGGAAGCAAACGAGGATTGCGTTAAGCAAGTCTGGGCGGGCCCATTCCCCGTTCGTTTTTTTGGGATAGTTATTGACTAATCAGGAGTTCGACTGTAAACAGAATATTATCTATTAGCCAGAATCTTCTAAGAATTTAGCAAAAGCAAACAAAATGGTTGGGTGAACATGCAGAACTGAAGAAATGTTATGAGGAGCAAAGCCAAAATGTATAGTAAGTGAGTTATACATTACTGAGGATTGTGCCATAAATCTATTGCATTTAAAGAAAATATGATTCAATGTACCAATCTCTCCGCACTCACAGAATTTGTCTTCCTTTACTCCTATCCTGTGAAGATGTACTGGGACCATACAGTGTCCGCTTCTTGATCTGACAAATGAACTTATTTTTCTTCTTGTAAGCTGTGGGAATTCCTTGAACCAAGGAGTTTTGTATGGAAATGGCACGAGTTCTGAATACAGTCTTCCCTTGACCCTAGAAACCTCCTTCCATTTAACATTTCACCTGTGTATATTGAGGCGTGATTAGAGATCATGAAGGTTGATTGCATTTTTAAATCCGCAGAAAACAAACCGATACCCACTCCCTTATTTACCTCCTTTGAGGCATCTGTGTTGATTTTAATTTTATTTCCATAATGTTGTGATATTATTTCATTAAATTTAATTTTATTATTTACATGTTTCTCAAGTTTCAACTTCACAAACTCTTTTTTGCTAAAGAACAGATCATTATCATAGAAGTGATGAGTATTTTCCACATATATTAATATTTGATCAATGGCTTCTATTAGAGGAGGTGTATGATATTTAGACCAAAAATGATAGGTCTGATTATAGGCCCCATATGCCCTTGAAACTTCATTTATTACTGGTTTCTCGTGTGAAGAAAATGATTTTAATAAGAATTTTGTCGCCAAAAAATTGCGTCTTATGTCCAGAGGGCATTCTGCTGCCTCTGAGAGAATTATATTGGTGGGAGAGCTACGCATTAAGCCTAAACAAACCATTAAACCCTGAAATTGAACCCTATCTAGTCTACCCAACGTGTTCTTTGTACATTTTAGTAAAATTAAGCTCCCGTAGTCCAAGTGAGATCTAACATAGGCCTTGTAAAAGTTTAGCATTGTGAGAGGGTGGCCTCCCCACCATATTTTGCAGAAAAAATTCATTATGTTAATAGCTTTATTTGCTTTAACACACATTGCTTCTACCTGTGGAATCCATGAACACCGTTTATCTAGAATAATTCCTAAATATCTAATTTTCTCTACCCAGTTTATTATTTCATCTTGAAGTTTAATTACTGGGAGTTGTACCATTTTATTCCTCCTTTGAATCAATAGGCAAGAGGATTTTTGAGGCTGGAACGCTATGCCGTGCAAATAGGACCAATCTTCCAAACTCCTTAAGGTATCATTTAGACTTTCCACCATGTTATCTAGACTTTTGCCTTGAACTACGAGAGCAATGTCATCTGCATATTGAATTAATTTAACTTCTTTATGGATGTGATCCTTAATATTATTAACATAAATATTATAAACAGAGTAGGAGCCAAAGGAGAACCCTGAGCCACCCCTTTTTCCAAAAATCCTGGGCCTAACAGTTTACAATTATTATGGTCAATAACAAAGATCTTTCTATTATAGGATATATCCCTAATATAGCAGTATAAAGTAGGATTTATAAACTCACAGTTGGATTTGGCTTTGGCGTTGGCGCCGCCGCCCAATTCTTAAAACTGTATATTACCTTAAGAGCATTTATAAACACGGTTGGCGTTGGCTTTGGCGCCCGGTTGCCGTCGGACTTAAATTATGTTTAACTTTTTACCGTTCGCGGCGGTTCGCCGTCCGTAGCACCACGTAGCAATGACGTTACAGCCAATAGAATAGTAAAGAGCGATCACGTGTTGCTTTGTTTACATCTAGTTTTGAAGATGCTAATTCCAAATTTATGGTCACTCCCAATAACCCTAATAGGGTAGTTTCATCAAGACCATTACTTTCCAAATCCATAATTAAAAATCTCGAACAAAAAACCAAAACTTTAAACACTTTCGTCTCTAAAAACGCACTATAGACTCTGCTACTCTTAAAGTAAAAAGTAAACAAAAATGTAAGGTTAGATCTGCCCAAAACGGCCAAAGCCAACTGTCAACCGTCGAGTTTATAAATGCGATTTTGCGGCGCTACGAACAGTCGACGGCAAATCCAACGCCAACGCCAAATCCAAAGCCAACTGTCGAGTTTATAAATCGACCTTTACCGTTCGCGGCGGTTCGCCGTCCGTAGCACCACGTAGCAATGACATTACAGCCAATAGAATAGTAAAGAGCGATCACGTGTTGCTTTGTTTACATCTAGTTTTGAAGTATGCTAATTCCAAATTTATGGTCACTCTGGGTCACTCCCAATAACCCTAATAGGGTAATTTCATCAAGACCATTACTTTCCAAATCCATAATTAAAAATCTCGAACAAAAAACCAAAACTTTAAACACTTTCGTCTCTAAAAACGCATTATAGACTCTGCTACTCTTAAGTAAAAAGTAAACAAAAATGTAAGGTTAGATCTGCCCAAAACGGCCAAAGCCAACTGTCAACCGTCGAGTTTATAAATGCGATTTTGCGGCGCTACGAACAGTCGACTGCAAATCCAACGCCAACGCCAAATCCAAAGCCAACTGTAGAGTTTATAAATCGACCTTTAGTCCCTCTCCAACCCCAAATTAGCCAATTTACTAACCAACAAATCTATGTTAACATTATCATATGCTCCTATTATCATATTAGCTGACAAAATAGCTAGGGCCTAGTTAAAATCCAAATGTTTCTACAGATTTGAGATGGCAACTGAAATTGTGTGGAACCCTGTAAATTTAGTACTCATTTAGAATGTAGAATGCGTATTGCAGGGGGGTTATTCACCGCGACCTTACAGAGATCTGTTGTGTCCCCCTTTCTTGAAAAATAAAACACTAAATCACCACAATACACCAAAACATTTTAACTTTTACACTGGACACGCGTTTTGCTAACCATGTTAGCATCATCAGCAGATAGAGGCATGAGGCAAAAGTGGCATCATCAACCCCAACCGCATTTCCCTTTCGTGAGTAATTCATCATATACAGTCTCAGGTCTTTGACAAAAGCCAGTTTCTGAGGCGGTTTTATAGAGGTTAGTTCTCCATCTCCGATATGAATAATTCTACCAAAGTTCATGGCACGAATGGTTGTCGTCTCGGTCCACTCAGTTTGTTCAGGTGTTTCTCAATTATCCCAACACAATCTGCATTCGCCGTTGTTTCTTAGCTTCAATTTACAGAGGTGTTTGTTGAGGAGACAGTGTCCTGTTAAAAACCCCGCGACAATCCGAAGATTGTTCTTACTTAAGTCAAGGGAAATCTTTGATTTCTCTCGGCGTTAGGTTCTGAGAAATTTCTTCGAGTGTCTCAGACCATTGGAGGATTCCCATTTTAGGATGCGGATGGAGTCTTTCAGGTTCTTGAATTTCGCTTTAAGTTGGTTTGCATTTGGAAAGGAGACCGGTTCTGGTCCAGTTAGTGGAGTGTATAGGCTACTTTTCTAGCTAGATCATTTGATTTTTCACTGTCTTAATGTCTTGGTGGGCTGGCATGCACCAAGAGTAGGATGACTTTATTCCTTTGCCTAATTTGTTCAGCTTCTCTAGGCATTCTTTGACCAATTTCGAATTGATGGTTAATGACTTGATAGTGTTTTTAATGGTGCACGGTTGATTATTATCAGATAAGATAGTTATTTCTTGCTTCCGATAGTTGCTATCTAAGATAAGTTACGTATATTTCGATAGCGCAGATTTCTGCCTGAATATGATGCTGGAGTAGGTGCTTATTGGTTTGGGGTATATAGTTTTTGGTTCAAATACTCTTATCCTTGTTCCTGCTTTGGTTTTAGAAGAATGAGTATACCACGTTATGGTCTTTAAACTAGTAGTGGGAACTATCGAATGAATACTATCGAAACATTCGATAGTTTCAATTCATTCGAATAATTCGATAGTTAGTAAGAAAACATTCGTTGAAAACTATTCGAATAAAAATTATCGAATAGATCCGTCATCTGCCTTGAAATATTGTGTTCTAGTAATTCGGCAGCAAAAACCATTCATTTATAAAATTCATTCATTTATGACATTCATTTATTCGTCAGGATCGATTATAATAAAATATCAACTGAATTTTAGTTGTCGCCCGGCGACGTAGGTTTCGGCTATGCTATGAAAGAAGCCGGCATCTTTGATTTTTTGCGGAGTCAGATATAGATAAGGACACATTATTTTTTTTATTGAGGTGCAAGTATTTACACAGAAAATACATTATGAAGGGCGCTGTTGCCATATTTTGGTATTAGTTGATATTAGCAAAGAATATTATTGTTTGGCTTTAGTTAGTTAGGGATAGTATGTCTATATATTCTGCATTTTTTTTTTAATATTCTGTTGTTACACTGCAATAATACTTGTTATTTTGGATGTAGGAAAATTATTTTTAATGTTTTTAAGCAAAGACTGGTTTAATAAATAATAATAACAGTAATAATTTGTTATACCTATTAACAACAAAATTTAAAATTATTTAATATAAATATTTTTTTTAAGTAGTAGCAAAATATAAACAACAAATTAGATGTCAAAATTATTTATATTAGATCCTATTTAAAAATAATATAGTCTCTAAATTTTTTGTGTGTGGCAACCTTGGTTTATTAAATAATAATAATTACAGAACTAATTTGTTATATTAACAACAAATTTTAAAATCATGAAATATAAACATTTATTAATTTTCTAAGCATGCAGTGTGATGGAAGGAAAATATAAATAAAAAATTAGAAATCAAAATTATTTATATTAGGTGCTTTATATTACTATTTAAAAATTATATTTACTTTTACTGGCATTTACTTTAAAAAATAAATGAAATATTTCTTTGCAAAAAACTACATGTAAGAGAATTAGCATAAACAAAATACAAACATCGTTAACTTTTTTTTTAAATTGGCACGTGTAAAACTTTCATTTTAATTTTCTCACCCCATAGTTTGAGTTCGATAACCGCATTTACTTAACCACATTACTTAAATATGATTATTAAGTTCAACTAATTCATATTATTAAAACATCTAAAATACAAATATGTATTTTTAAAATTAATTGTAAGTTCATCTCATCTTTCTTAAAAATTGCTACTTCTCAAAATTTCCCATTAAAAAATAGACCATATACCATATAAAATTAAATAATTGAAAGATCGGATTACGGAAAACCACACAATGTTTTTTTCATTTATTTTAACTATTTTAATAAACGCAAAAATAGCACAGTATTTATACGGCGAAGTTATAAAAATTTGGAAGAACTAATAATGCACTGACGCATACAAAAATCAAACGAATACTAATTTCATTTATCAAAAGCATTCGATAGTCGTGGCTCAACGATAACCATTTAGTCGCACGGCGAGGTTGTCACATATGCTTTAGTATACAAATGAATGAATGATTCTATTCGAATAAAACCATTCGATAGTTGAAATCATTCATTCATTAACCATTCGATAGTCTAATTCATTCAATAGTTCCCATCGCTACTTTAAACTGCTGCGCAAACGTTTCTCTCTTGCAATCCTTTTTATTGCTTAATTGCTCAATAAATCTTGATTTTCACTATACCCTTCCATATCAGCTCCCTTCCGTTTACATAAAATATTATATCATGTAAATGAATAGGACAATGCACACTATCCATTCCATTTCCCTTCCGTTCCATATCCTTTCCTTCCATACATTTTTTTGGCGTGCGGACTGAAGCGTATCGGTAACAGCGTTGTTAAGTTCTTACATTTGTACCAGCTCTGTTAAAATTTTGTTCATATTTATTTATTCTTTCACCTCTTAATTAAATCTGTTACCTTTTTAAAAAGATACCATTTTTTTAAATAACATTTTCGTAATGATATAAATTGTACAATAAAAAGTATGGAACTGATACGGAACGGAAGCTTACGTATAGCGTCAATACAAGTGAGAATCAACCTTAATACTTCCAATTTCCAACACACATGAAGTATTTTTAAATAAATCTAATAATTTTCAAGGGATTAGAATACCAACGACAAATTTGCCGTTAAAATTTTATTTTGCGAATTTATATAAGTAACATAGTTTTAGCGTTAACGAAAATAGCGCAATGTGTATCTATCTATAGAATTAGAAAAATCTTGCGTGGCCACTGTTCCGAAATTTGAATCATAAAATATTTTCACTATATATTTAGAAGTTGTTGTGCATCAGTTTTAGTGTTTAGTCTGTATTTCGGCTTGCAGATTATTTGTGACAAAAATATATAATCGAGGTAAGTTAGTTTACATTTGTTTAATTTTAGAATTTATGTTTATTTTGATATATTACACGTTAATTTTAAATCAGTTTTACTTAAACATATTAAAAATACTGTTTTTTGGGCATAAGATTTCAAGGAATTGAGGAAATTGAGGGTACCAAATTAATTACGTATTTGTACAGGGTGAGTCAACGATAGAGTAAAGTCCATTATCTCATTTGTTTCGAGGTTTACAAAAAAAATTTAAATAAAAAGATTGTAGGGAAGGTTAAGATACACATTTTAAAATTATTATAGAGTATACAAGGTGCTTCAAAAAAGTGTGGCGGATATAACATATGTTTTTTTTTAAATGCAACACCCTATTTTTTATTTTATTTTTAGATTCTGCCTAAAATTTCATAACTTTTTTATATATAATGTTATATACCTAAAATTAATAGTTTTTGTAATATTTTAATTTGTTTAAACAAATGTTAAATTGCAGTGTGGTAAAAAATTGTCAGTGGTGCTATTGTTTCTGAAGTTGTAGTACCAAAACTTGGTAAGAGAGTTTTATAGAGATGATCAAAAATATATATATATATAAAGATATTTTAGTTAAATGATACAGGGTGTTCAAAATATATTTATGAATTTCAACTACTTAAAATTAAAAAATATCAAATTTTTTAAATAGATTTTACAAAACTCTTCAACTTTTATTAAGTATGTCAAATTCCTATTTTTAATAGTTTGCGATTTATTCCATTTTTTTCTATTTTTACCCATATTTTTAATACAATTACCCTATAACATCATAGTTACCATGACAAAAAGTAATAATTATCAAAATTTCTTGTCTGTTAATCAAGTTAATAACAAAATTTGAATTTTAGTTTAATTTGTTGTAATAAGTATAAATTGTAGAGATAATAGTTACAGATTTTCCTGAAATGAGTTAGTCAATGTGACTGATATACATGAACAAGCCAAAAAATATATTTTTTGGTTCAATACTATATATTATATAGTACTTTGCTAAGTAGTATAAGAATAGATGTAGATTACCTAGAAAACATCTTTAGTGTGTAATGGGACGGTTTTGCGGCAGTAGTAATATTGGCTTTGCCAAATGAATTATTATAAACCAGAATTACTACGAGAAAAAAACTTTACTGTATGTCGAGGAAAATTCTTATATCAGTAGTCTTCAACAATTAGGTATTCTAGTATTACCTTAATCTGTGGCTATTCGCTCCGACGCGCGACGGAAAATCCAAATGTTCTCTTTCATAATATAGAAATACACCAAGAAATTAACGATTTCGATTTTAGTTTATTTGAGTAAAGTTAATTAATTTTAACTAATACCAGCAATTGTAACTAATTATTAAGCTACTTGTTAAAGATAAGTAATAAATAGTTTGTTTTGTCATGGTAACTATGATTTTATAGGGTAATTGTATTAAAAATATGGGTAAAAATAGAAAAAATTGGAATAAATCGCAAACTACTAAAAATAGGTATATGACATACTTAATAAAAGTTGAAGAGTTTTGTAAAATCTATCAGAAAAAATGATAATATATAGGGTGCCCCATTTAAAAAGTTTGATATTTTTTAATTTTGAGTAGTTGAAATTCATAAATATATTTTGAACACCCTGTATCATTTAACTAAAATATCTTTATATATATATAGTTTTGATCATCTCTATAAAACTCTCTTACCAAATTTTGGTACTCCAACTTCAGAAACAATGGCACCACAGACAATTTTTTACCATACTGCAATTTAACATTTGTTTAAACAAATTAAAATATTACAAAAACTATTAATTTTAGGTATATAACATTATATATAAAAAAGTTATGGAATTTTACGCAGAATCTAAAAATAAAATAAAAAATAGGGTGTCGCATTTAAAAAAACATATGTTATGCATGGAAATGCATGGTTTTAAAAATACAGGATGGTTAAAATCTCGTTAAGTTACTTGCACTAGAGTAAATACTTTCAAATTTTATAAAATAATAATTTAATAAAATCGTATTTTCTTAAAATAAAAACCAAAGAAAAAATGAGTTTAATTATATTTCAGTATAATACTTCTTAAGTTGTTATTATTGAGCGCACTAAATTTAGTAATTGTTTCCTAAATGTTTTCTTGATATTTCAGTTATTTTTACTGTTGTCGGTGTGTGCTAGCGGTCCTAAAAAAAGATTTTCTGATTCAGCGACACCAGATCTGTTCTATAAAATATATTTCTGATTTGTTTTGGCGACTAAAACTCTGTTTATTCGCTTAAATGGAGCTTCAAAACAATCAGTTTTTAAGTAAGAAATTATTATTTTCAGATATACCGGGAGCGTCTCAAAAGTGGCTCCCCCTATAACTTTTTTTATTTTTTCAGATAAAAAAACGAGATTTGGTATGTTAGTATATGACGTAAATTGAGATTGATTGATGTATTCAATTGTTTTTGGTCACTTGCTGTTTTACCGAACATGACTACTACTTTTGATTTTTAAATGGCACCCTCGGTATATTTTTGCTTTATTCGATAGAAAATGATATTATGAATAGAATGACGTATCATATGTCAACTCTTGACATTCTCGATTAATAAAAAAATAAATTTTAAATCTCAATCTAGAGTACCAACCCAAGTAGCATTTTCACGACTTGCGACCACATGTTTACTAAACACAACGTTGGATTAGTTACAAAAAATAGTTAGCTCCCTACCTTAGGTATTAAAATAAATTTAAACGTTTTTATAACGTTGTGCCGACGTTGGACTTGTACTACAGCAAAGTAGAAGCTTCTGCGACGTCGAATAAACGTTGTCTTCTAACCTTTTTTGCCTAAGTGATCTTTAGAACGTAGCTACAACGTTGGACAATATAGAGTTTTCCGACGTCAGTTTCAGGACCTATTCCAACGTTATGCAAACGTCGTCTGTTTTACTAATTCCAACGTTGTTTAGATCTCCTTATTCTTACGTTGGTAGGACGTCGGGTCACTACCTTTTTGCAACTGTATTGAACCATAACCTTAAAGCTTAAATTTTCACTTCATTGTTCTGTTCAGTCAGACAGTTCAGGTGCTGTTTTTGTTTTTATAAAAAAAACTTAATTAAAATGGGACATAAGAAAGGTACATATAAAACTAAATTTAAATATACATCGACATATATTACCGATAGTTTATCCACTCCCTCGTTTATTTAGATTATAGAGGGCGGCACAAGCTAGACTCTAGGATGACTAAATTAGGCAATCTTGCGACTAGTATACTACCTGTTAAGGCCGAACTGCGACTTTATTAGACCAGTATGCGACTACTCGAACTACTCCATCTTAATCTCCAAAACAACAAAGTGCAAGCCGCCATGTTGTTAAATAAGAAAATGTTTCGTTTCTAAAATAGCAATTCCTGCTTTTTAATACATTAACTTGAAATATTTGACCCTAAAAAACACGCGGAAACAATTTTTTCGACTGCGAATGAATTATTCTCATTTTACTAAAAAAAAATTCAAGAAAATTTTTAAAACTTCTTTAATTTTAAGGCCCATTAGTATTTTTCAAAGTAGAAACTATACATTCATCAATAAAGTTGTTTGCGTTTAACTTTTTTGCCTTGGGTAACGAGTTACAGAGTCGGTTAAAGTGTTTCAATAATTATGATCTTCAAACATCCTCCACACTTAAATACTTTTGTTTTGTTTTCCATCACTGCCATCTGACATATGTCTCTAACTAAACCATAAAAATAATATTTTTACTATAATTATCCCAATTTAGGATAAAACGCGACTTAGACGCCATATTAGTTTTGTATTTCTGTGAATTAGGATTTTAAACAACGTTGCAGATTGTACTAAATTAGGCTTCTAGCCAACGTCGGTAGCCAACGTCGTTTCGACCCAAAAATTATTCTCCAAACTAGTGCAGACTAGGGTTGGCACGAGGTTGTGCCGACGTTGCGCCCCGACGTTTGGTCGCGTGACACAACGTTGTCCCGACGTCCAAATGCTGCTTGGGAAGGCTATGTTAAAAACACTAATTCTTAATCAAGGAGCCTTAATCAAATAGATTTGATCGTCTAATGTTTTTAGTATCTTTTTCCTTGCCGATTAAAAAATGCCCAAATCGTATTTTTAATCATATCTCAATTTTTTCAAACGGAACGAGGGTGGCTCATTAGCATATTTGAAAAAAGCATTTTTTTACGAATAATTTGATACCACACACTTGGTATTTCAAGTCAGATTTTCGTCATGAACCGTAAGTAATAATTTCAAATAAACCATTTGCGAAAACGTCAAAAGTTGACATATGATATGTCATTCTATTCAGAATATCATTTTCTATCGAATAAAGTAAAAAAATACAGAGGGTGCCATTTAAAAATCAAAAGTTGTAATAATTTCCGGTGAAACAGGAAGTGACCAAAAACAATTGAATACGTCAATTAATCCCAATTTATGTCATATACTAACATACCAAATATCGTTGTTTTATCTGAAAAAATAAAAAAGTTATAGGGGTGAGACATTTTTGAGACGCATCCGGTATATTAGAATTAAGTCGAAGATGCTTTTTTTGGGGGACCAGGGGCATTTGCTGGAGCATTTTCTTTGCAAAGAAATAAATATAAATCAAAATGAAATTACTTAATATCAATTCTGCTTATAAGGAGTTTTATACAATTGAAATGAACATTATTGTTAAAAATAATTGATTTCAAATAATAGATATTACATATTACATATACATAAATATATATTCTGAGTAAGCTTATAGAATTTTAGAGATATACCAAGATTTGCTTACATACAAAACTATTTTTTTTGTTTAATTATAGATGTCTGTTGTACCACTCTTGTACCGCGATTGGTGGGACGACGAAGACTGGTTCTCCCGTCCATCTAGACTCCTGGATCAACACTTTGGAGTTGGTTTGAGGAAAGACGATCTCCTCAACTCGCTCAGGACATTCCCAAGGAGTTCCGTAGCCAGACAGTACCTCAGACCATGGAACACTTCTAGTGTCCTTCAAAGACAAGAATCTGGATCGACTATTCAACAAGACAAGGACAAATTTCAGGTATGGAAATGTTTAAAGTTTATTGAGTAATCCGTAAACATTTGCTATATTTATAAAAAACATTCATTGATAATTTTGCATGGCCTTGATAGCTTTCATTTCATACACTTTTCTTTTCTACACATTACAATTATTATTATTTTAATCTAGATACATATTAAGCAATACTCACTTAGACAGATACTAAAAAGATTCTATTTTATTATGTAAGCAGAAAGCAACCATAACAGAAGTGCAAACTAACCAAGAACCTCAAGCCCACAGTAGCTTGTCCAGAGCAAATGATTTTGAGGTAATTCTTCCAAATTATTAATTGGCATTATTAGCAGGTAAAAGTTTATAAAAATAGATTTAGGTACTATCTATTTGAAAACAAAACAATCCATTTATTAATATAGTACATAAGATTCGATACAGTTTTGTTATGGATATGCGTCACATAATATCATTTGATGAAGACACTATAAGTTCGTAGGGTCTTAGGTCTAATCCTCATAATCCAAGGTCTAATCACAGATGTCAGGCATGTCTCAGTTTGGTTTCTGTTCTGTCATTCTGTCTCAGTGTCATTCTGTGAACATCTCAGTCGGCTGTTTACACAGATCAGTCAAAAATTGTACTCTGATTGGAGTTAGAGAATAGTAGAATGTAGAATGTAAAATAAGTGAGAGGAGGATTAATCACCCCAAGCAGCATTTGGACGTCGGGACAACGTTGTGTCACGCGACCAAACGTCGGGGCGCAACGTCGGCACAACCTCGTGCCAACCCTAGTCTGCACTAGTTTGGAGAATAATTTTTGGGTCGAAACGACGTTGGATACCGACGTTGGCTAGAAGCCTAATTTAGTACAATCTGCAACGTTGTTTAAAATCCTAATTCACAGAAATACAAAACTAATATGGCGTCTAAGTCGCGTTTTATCCTAAATTGGGATAATTGTAGTAAAAATATTATTTTTATGGTTTAGTTAGAGACATATGTCAGATGGCAGTGAAGGAAAACAAAACAAAAGTATTTAAGTGTGGAGGATGTTTGAAGATCATAATTATTGAAACACTTTAACCGACTCTGTAACTCGTTACCCAAGGCAAAAAAGTTAAACGCAAACAACTTTATTGATAAATGTATTGTTTCTACTTTGAAAAATACTAATGGGCCTTAAAATTAAAGATGTTTTAAAAATTTTTTTGAATTTTTTTTAGTAAAATGAGAATAATTCATTCGCAGTCGAAAAAATTGTTTCCGCGTGTTTTTTAGGGTCAAATATTTCAAGTTAATGTATTCAAAAAGCAGGAATTGCTATTTTAGAAACGAAACATTTTCTTATTTAACAACATGGCGGCTTGCACTTTGTTGTTTTGGAGATTAAGATGGAGTAGTTCGAGTAGTCGCATACTGGACTAATAAAGTCGCAGTTCGGCCTTAACAAGTAGTATACTAGTCGCAAGATTGCCTAATTTAGTCATCCTAGAGTCTAGCTTGTGCCGCCCTCTATAATCTAAATAAACGAGGGAGTGGATAAACTATCGGTAATATATGTCGATGTATATTTAAATTTAGTTTTATATGTACCTTTCTTATCTCTTTAAATATGATCTTTAATTAAGTTTTTTTTTTATAAAAACAAAAACAGCACTGAACTGTCTGACTGAACAGAACAATGAAGTGAAAATTTAAGATTTAAGGTTATGGTTCAATACAGTTGCAAGAAGGTAGTGACTCGACGTCCTACTAACGTAAGAATAAGGAAATCTAAACAACGTTGGAATTAGTAAAACAGACGACGTTTGCATAACGTTGGAATAGGTCCTGAAACTGACGTCGGAAAACTCAATATTGTCCAAAGTTGTAACTACGTTGTCCGAATCACCTAAAGATCACTTAAGCAAAAAAGGTTACAAGACAACGTTTATTCGACGTCGCAGAAGCTTCTACTTTGCTGTAGTACTAGTCCAACGTCGGCACAACGTTATAGAAACGTTTAAATTTATTTTAATACCCAAGGTAGGGAGCTAACTATTTTTTGTAACTAATCCAACGTTGTGTTTAGTAAACATGTGGTCGCAAGTCGTGAAAATGCTACTTGGGTTTCCATTCTCCTCTGACAACAGGTGTTCTTCCTCCGAGGAACGGGGGGTATACACCTTTCCGCGTTTGGAGTTTGGTACACAGTGCTCTTAACAGTCAAGGAGCTTGTCTCTGGCTAAGGTACCTGTGAGGCGGAGGATCTGTCTCTAGTTTCTCCACCTCTTTAAGTTGGTCTCTCCTTAAACCTGATACCGGTGTTGACCCAAATCTATAATGGAAGATACATCTCTATTTCTCTATTGCCTCCTTGTATTTGAGATCAATTCTTATTGTGAGGACTCGAACTTGGCCCTCCTCCCTTGAGTTGATGACTCGCCACCTTGAAGTCCTTTACAATGGAGTTTTGGCCAAACACCGCAAGGGTTAGTCGGTCCACTTCCAGAGCTCTACATGTAGAAGTAACGGAGACGATAATACAATGGGTTGCCCTCTGGTGCCCTAATGTTCAGACCGGTAGAGACTAGTCTTCCATCAAGCATCCTCTTGACCTGGTTCCACCATCAAAAGATTTAGGTTTTTGGTGAGGTTGCCTCCACTTAGTCCGGGCGGTTAAGCTAACATCCTCGGCCTGTGATACATGACCACAGACAGTAGAGGGCGAGGGGTGTCTCACTATTGGAATTACATGAATATTTTCTTGGCAGTCGCTGGCAGTCATTGGCAGTCTTACGGCAGTCGCCTGTAATAATTACATGGCAGTCTTCTTCACAGGCATTGTCAGTCGCTTGGCGGTAAAGTAATATTTTGCCAGTACATATACATTTTCTGCCCAAGTGAGACACTCCTCGGTAGAGGGTGCTTGGTATGACGGACAGGGTAGTCCCACCCGGCATCGTTATACGTCTTGATGCAATTCCCTCGCCACGAAACTACAGCGAGGGACAAGACAGTGAAATGCTCCTTAGAACCAGCTAAAGTGGCAGAGGGGATTCCCCCTAGCGCCTGACTAGGAGCTTCCCCACCAACGACAAGGTCTCTCATCTTTTAGAGGAAGCTGGTGTTTTATTTAAAGAAATAGCAAAAACTAACAACAACAGTATACAGGGTGTTCCTTAATGACATGCTAATATTTAAGGAGGTTAGGTTTGGTTCAGTTTCTTGGACCTATTCTAAGAAAAAAACTTTATATGAATATATATGTCCTAAACATCTTAACTTTTCGGATACAGGGTGGTAAAATTTTTTTGCGGTTGTTTTTTTTTCCAAATATCTCTGAAGTCATATATTTGATAAACGTCTTCCATGCATCAAAATGCTTATTTTGATATTCAAAAAAAATTGTTTTATTTCTTCATTTCCTCTCCAGCCAATGAAGAAATGATTTCGATACAAGTCACCGCAACAAATTTTCAGCGATTTGGCCCTGAAGTAAACTGACTTTAGTTTTTGTAACCAAAAACTATGCGCCAGACGAAAAAATCAGAAGATTAAAAATGTTTAGAAACGAATGGAGATTTTGAAAATAATTTTTACTTTAAAAGAAGTCAGTGGTGTACCATTTTTTTTCCAAAAATATTTAATGTAAAACCCGTATGGACGACACTCGTTGAAATAAATAAAATTCTTACCGTACACCAAAAAAGGTATTTTGATCCATAGAAGACGTGTATCAAATTTCACAAAGATATCTATAATAAAATCAGAGTTATTATGAAAAAATAAATGAAAATTTTACCACCCAGTATCCAGCATTAAGCTTAAATATTGGTATTAAGGAACACCCGGTATATCTAATACAAAAGATTGAACAACAAATCGCACGACAAGTCGTTACATGTGGACCGCACTTAACTGAGACTGTTTGACTGAACGGAAATACGACGTGACTGATATGTGTGAAAAGACCTTTATGATGATTTTTCTTTAACTTGAAATAAATTTACCTACTTTGCCTCCAATAATATTAATACTCCTGCATCTCTTCCAGGTAATCTTAGACGTTCAGCAATTCGCTCCAGAAGAAATCACAGTGAAGACAAGCGGAAACAGCATCGTTGTCGAAGGCAAACACGAAGAGAAACAAGACGAACACGGCTACATTTCCAGGCATTTCGTGAGAAGATACGTTTTGCCTGCTGAAAATGACATTGAAGATGTCGTTTCATCCTTATCCTCTGACGGTATCCTGACTGTAACTGCTCCAAAGAAATCAGAGAAACCTAAAAACACTGACAGGGTAGTACCAATTCAACAGACTGGACCGGCCAAGCAAACTACTGAACCTAAAGTTGAAACACCTGGCAGTTAGAAAATTTTCTCCTTATTGTGAAATACAAATAATATGTTTTCGGACATTGGAATAACGCTTTTAACCAAAAATTTGTATATTTTTGCTATTAAGTACCTATAACTTATTTTAAAATGCAAACAATAAATAATAATGTATAACAAGAATACTATGATCATTGAAAACCCTGTATTTCAACAACAGTCAAACAGCACAATTTTTGCAATTCATTCATGGAATAGTCTTTATTAACTTAAACAAATGGAGGTAATAACAAGTAGGAGAAAGTCGCTTATATGGTATCGTCTCCTAAATCGTACCTCCTAAATATCTGGTTCATAATTGCAATGGCGAGACAAAAAACTTATTTTTTTCAAACGTCACAAAAGTATTAATTTTTGCGACGTGATTGACAATATAAAAAAGTCATTTATGCCTAAGCATAAAAGTACGAAAATATATTATTATTATTAAACTGACATAAAGTGTCAAATTCAACGAGCGTAACCATAGTGTCTCGATATACAGGGTTGTTCACCACATACGATTGTAGCTAAAAGATTAGATTTTTACAAATTTTCAATTTTGGGTTCGTTGAAGGACTAGTAGAGCTACAATTTAGAAATAATTTTACAAGATACAGAGTATCCCAAATAAGTAAAAAATGCTACAGTTGTATTTTTTTAAATAGAACTATTAGATTCTACAATTGAAATAAAGATATATTTTATTAAGGTTTATCACACTTAAACCTTACCGTTTTTGAGATATTTATAATTTTGTGAAATTGCAGTAAAAAATTTAAGGCTTCATTTTTCCAAGGGTGTCAAAGTTTTTAATACTACATATTTACTGAAGTTTATTTTCTGATCAGTTATTGTGTTGCAATAATAAAAATTATACTACCTTATACAGAGTGTCTCAAATTTTATTTTAAATAATTACTAGCTTTAAACGGCAATAACTTGTTTAATTTAAATGGAACGCCCTGGATATTTTAGGAGATTCAGATGCATAATTTAATTGTCTATTAAATTGCATTATACCACTTTTTACCTATCCCTTCAAGTTTTCGTAGAAAATGCATTTTCTTATAATTTAGACCTCGTTTATCAATATACCCATGGAATATTGACATTTTAGATTGTTTTTAAACCAACAAGTGTACAAAATGTACAGGCTAGTAATATTATCGTTTTTAGCAAAATGATAATATTACTAGCCCATTTGTATGCAAAAAGAAAACTATTTAAATCCTCATAAAAGAGTATACCATTAATTAAATATACCACCATTATTTCCGACCAAATACTAATTAATTACATACTTAATTATGTTCGTTAATAAATTATTCTAAATAAATGTGGATTTGAATCAGAAATCAATATAATAATAAGTTATAAAAATGAATGTCTCTGTTGTTACAAATAAGCATTTGTCAAAAAATGAAGTATAATTTTTAAGGTGTTACTTTTTACCACACTGTCTAATACACATAAAAAATTCAGTTTTTTAGTATTTGGAGCAATTATTATTAATCAACGCAATCAGTCAATTAATGTAGTTTGAATACTGGAATCATATTAATTGGTCTTCTTTAACAAATATTTAAACAGTTTTTTTTTTAATTTTTTAATGAAATAAACGAAGGGTATCGACAATATTAGTATCTGTACTCTTTGTTACATCTTTAAAAATAATCTAAAATGTTAGTATTCCATGGGTATATTGATGAAACAGTTCTAAATTACAAGAAATGCATTTTCTACGGAAACTTGAAGAGATAGGTAAAAAATGGCATAATACAATTTGATAGATAATTAAATTGTGCATCTGATTCTCATAAAATATACACGGTGTTCCATTTAAATTAAACAAGTTATTGCCGTTTAAAGCTAGTCATTATTTAAAATAAAATTTTAGACACTTTGTATAAGGTAGTATAATTTTTATTATTGCAACAGCTATAACTGATCAATAAATAAACTTCAGTAAATATTTAGTATTAAAAACTTTGATACCCTTGGAGAAATGAAGCCTTAAAATTTTGACTGCAATTTCACAAAATTAAAAATATCTCAAAAACGGTAAGGTTTAAGTGTAATAAACCTTTATCAAATTTACATTTATTTTAATCGTAGAAACTAAAAATGTAATAATATACAGGTTCCATTTAAAAAAATACTGCTTTGATATTTTTTATTTATTTGGACACTCTGTATCTTGTAAAAATATTTTTAAATTGTAGCTCTAATAGTCCTTCAACGAACCCAAAACTTACAATTTGTAAAAATCTAATCGTTTTGCTACAATACTCCGTGTCGTATGTGGTGAACAACCCTGTATAATTACATACAATGTATTCCTTTTAAATATTTTTATATTATTTGGAACGTTTGAAATCGTCCAAAAACTTATTTGTGGCGGTTGAAAAAAAATAGCATGTTCTATTCGGAGTAAAAGTAACTTTTGTGCCTCTCCAAAACAATATACTATTTTTTGTATCCGTCTACATTATTTTTATATCAGATATTATATTTTATAACTCTTTTAAAAAGGATTACAATAATAAATACTATTAAAAAAACATTATTTATTTAGATCTAACATTTCAAGGGAATAAAACAATACACACGGACATAATTCTCTTTACAAATAGAAAACACATATATATTCATCAAAGAATATAAGATAAATAGACATATGAAGTGGCACGACCTGCATGCGATATAATTTCATAAAAGTTTAATAAAAATATAGATACATAAATAGATGTACGTTTATATATGGTTTTTGTACAAGAAATAGGAGGATTTATTTTATTATTTTTTTAAAGATATGCGCTATTATTTAGTCAGGTATTGTAGTTCATGTTTCTTTGAGTAAGGATACGTCTTAAATCACTGATGTCAACACTGTGACCTGAAAAGAAAATCTGATATAGTAATAGGTACAAGTAAATGAATAATTCAATGAAAAACACAATATTTCTTGTTCAGCAATCGTTCAATGTCACGTCATACCGTGCTGGCAACTCATACTTTTGGGTCGGTATTTACATGTGCAGAAGTAAATCGCATAGGGATCTTATATTAAGTCGAACTGAGAGAAATGCGACGGTGTGCTGTTGCGCCGTTGCCACATTTCTCCAGTACGCACAGTGCTTCGAACATATGGCTCTAGACGACAAAAACCCAAAACTTCTCTTTTATTATAAGCAATTTATTCAAACTAGGTTTATTTGACACAAATGATGAGTACTCTCATTGTACTAAATGATAATGTTCTTAGTCCCACGTTTATGAAAAAAAAATCTTATAAATAATAATAATAATGTTGGAGCTGTGTTCCATCTAAGCAAATAATAAGTTATAGTATGAAAACCGTGTAAGTATTAAATAAATTCCTCTGATAAAAAAGAATTGAAATAACATTAGAAGATGATTCCTACAATATAAGCCTAATATAAGATAAAAATGTTTTTCTTTAATGAAAAAGAAACATTAATGTTATATTTAATTAAAAAAAAACTTAAGATACTATAAATTTACTTTAGGACAACAAAATGCATAGATCGTAACTACTCTGATTCAGGAGAATTACTTTTGACAATTATCTTCAAAATTTATAGTATCCAATCACAGGTAGATGAAGTATCCTCACATATAATATATTTCTGTACATCATTTTCTAATATGTTACTTTTTCGCGTTGTTACTGTTCATTTTGTCGGTATGAGGGGTTCGGATGTTAATAGTTACATCTTTAATATACCTTCTCCATATATTATTTTTTCCTTTTCTTGGGTATAACATTTTATAATAAATTGAAAGATGGACATTTTTTTTATGCGACGTTTCGCTCCAACATAGTGGACTTTTTCAGGCACAAGTGGTGTCTCATTTGACTGGAAGGTTCATCAATATCTAATAAGAACATATTTTTTGAAATACAAATAATTTTGAGTTCTTATCCTTATGATCAAGCCAAGTATTAACCAGATCGGCATTGCTTATCAATTTTACTCCATCTGAAAAGTATTATAAAATAAAGTTCGTCGCAAGCAGACGCAGGTGAACTATACAAAAAATAAAAGTGTATGAATATGGCAACAAAAATATTCAATAAATACGATATGTTTTAATATGTTTTTTTTTAAATGCCTTTTTGAAGTTTGAAAACGTAAAATTTTTATACCCATTTAAGAATCATCTTAAAAATAAATAAAAACTAAACAATCACGAACTTGTTTAGAAATAAATTTAAAGTACATACCTTGTTTAACAATATCCATAGTGGCTTTCAATTAAGTACGTACCCGTTTAACTCCATAATATACAGAACTACTATGAATGTTATTCTTTTCACTGATGAGATAATGATCGCAAAATTTATTTTTAGTGAAAATATTTGGTAACAAAAACGCTGTTTATGAAAAATAATATACAGGATGGTTGAACATTGCTATAAGTATAAAATTATATATTCAGATATTAGTAAATTTTAACTTATTTTTTGATTTTTGTCCATGGGACGAAGCACTGTGGTACGCCTTTCCCTATCAAGTAAAGTAAAAGGCTGTACTTAAACTGCCGTTAAACGGTAGCTTACTAAAATGCCGTTAATAGGTATGACGTCGTTGATGTGACGCACTTGACGGGCTTTATGAAATATAGGAATTTTATAAGGACGCAACGCTATCCACCCCACCAAATAACCAACTTAACCAACGCAACTAACCTCGAAAATATGAAACACAAATATAAATTAGTAAAAAACAACCAACCCCACCAAATAACCAACTAACCAATGAATTAACACCCTCCAAATAACCACGTTAACCAACCCGCCAAATAACTAAACCAATCCAATCAAAAAGAGTGAAACCAATGCAATAAGATCACGCTATAAGCAAAAAAAAAATATTGTTATGTTTTTCGTCGGTTCCGTGTGGATAGAAAGTCACAATTTATTTAAACACTATTTATTTAACACTAATTAACAAAAACAATAACGATAAAAGACTTATAGAACTATTTACAAACGATTTATAACTAAGAATTTATTTTGAACTTTAGTGCGTCAACTGTACTGTTTATTTATAACTGCCCCCTGTAGGCCACAGCCGCCGGCTTTTATACCGACAGGTAAAGAACTCTAGAATAGTCCATAGATCGTTAGGTGCGTAGAGAAGGTTTTCGAATGTTCTCGTATGTACTAGTCCATTCCAGTGGGACTCGATTCTTCTCGAACGAATGAATCATTACGGTGTCTATTCTTTAATGCGATGTTAAGGTCATCTGAGGGCGGGACATATAGTTAGGTTAGGTCGAGTCCACACGGGTCCGCAACAATATAAAAAAGTCTTGAACCACGGACCATTCGCTCACGAAGCGACAACCTGAGCCACGGAGCCATAGGTTCTTGCAAAATGCTTATAGGTAGGCATTACTTTCCGCCGACACGAACGACGTCACAATATCTATTAACGGCATTTTAGTAGGCTACCGTTTAACGGCTGTGATCGAAAGTAAAATCCCGATCGCAAACCGCTTATTTTTAAAAGACTTTTCTTCGAAAAGATAATTAGATAAAATCATTAGATAAATTTCTGAGTATCTGAAATGGAATTATAAGAATATCGTTAAGGTGTCCTTTATTTTATAACGAGAAAACGTCAGCAATCGCGATAATTTAAGAACTCAACTTTTTAACACATAACACGCAACTCAAGAATTACTTTAGATATTTAATCTTTTTTTATATATTTTGAAGTTCGAATCTTTTACAAGATGTTTAAATTTCACCCTCTTCTTTCATTTCTCGAAGGATTTTGTCAGCTTCTTCTCGTTTGGCGAGCGGAAGTCTTCTCGGATTTTGTTTGATTGGTCGTGCATCTCCGGTGTCAATTTTATGTTGTACTAAATTGGTACGACCTCTCTGTCCTGCTTCTCCTTTTTCAAACACATGCTGGTACTTGGTTATCACGTTTCTCAATTTTCTACTATCTTCGGAAGATAATCCCTTAACGTTTACTAACTCCTTCACCATTTTGTCTGGAATTTTTGAAGTTGAAACTTTGGATGCTTCCACGCTTCGAATGACTGAGGAGACCGAACAACAGTACCCTAACAGGATTCCCTTCTTCAAGGATACAGAATAATAATTCGTGTTCACTACTCTCACCGGTACAGTCTTCTTCGCTCGTAGCAGGGCTTTTCCAACAGCGACCCCTCGTCCTATTTCGCTGTTATGGTTCCTTGGCTCCAACAGAATAAAACTCCCATTATTCATTTTACCTTCCAGGCAACCATCCAAAAATATCTCACAGCGTTCAGGGATCGAAACATCTTCTGCTACTACCACGTGGAGCGTCTCCTCACATTTTCGATGTAGAACCACTTCTTCTTCATTTATCTTCAAAATTCCTTGTTTGAGGTTTAGTTCAAAACCTCTAGTGGTCATGATGTCCATTCCGAGAATAAGTTCATTCTTTGATGTCTGCTACTAACACTCGATGATTAAAACAGGTGCTTCCGATAACAAAATTAAGATCTACCTCTCCATGGATGAGAGCGGAGCTTCCTGTAGCTGTACGTAGTCGCCATTGTGTTGTTTTAAATTTTTGATGTTTTAAGGATATCCGGCCTGATGATCGTTTTGGTCGCACCCGTATCCAACAGCATGGTCCGTAACTCTCCATCCACGAAACTATCCACAAAAATGCTGTTGAACTTATGTTGTAGCGATGCGACTTGAGCAGTTTTCGTTGGAACCTGTTGGGTACTGCTCGATATGTGTCCCTTTGATTCGACACTTGGCGAAACCGGGTCCACGTCGTTTTCTTAACAGTGATTTCTTAATGTACCAGGGGCCAGCTTTGCAAATACCTTCATTCCCTGTGTACATCTCGGGACGAGCATGTATCTAAGAAGGGGGCAGTGTTGCGGATCCGTACCGTGTGAACTCGGCCTTAGGCTTGGCCACTCGGCTATGGGTACGAACATAGTGGAGGCAGGTTTCTGCTTTCCGGCAACCAGCGCCGTCTCTGGGGACTTATTCTTGACTACTCGCATCTTCAAATATCGCTCACATCTCGCATCTCCGAAAAAGCCATATAACAATACACTTGATGAGTAACTTTGCGTATATGCCGTGTATTGTTATATGACTTTTTCGGAGATGGGCGAGCAGGGTTCGGAAGTAGTTAATTAAGAGGAAATTTACTTAACTGAATACAAATCTATAAATACTAAATGTAAGCACGTTTATTAGCTTTTTTAAGTCGTAGGTTGACTATCAAATAAATAATATATTTCAATTATAAGTATGCATTATCTTGAGTATATTCTGAATATTTCTAAGATTATAAAATAGTGGAATTGTTTGTAGTGCTTTTTTTGCAAATTGTTTATAATAACTGTCATGATGGATACAGAGCCAGCTGGCAAGTCCTGTTTTATGCCATATTTTTATTTTGAAACGTTTCCTTCTCTTCTATTTCTTTATAATGTTTTATATTTAAAAAATCAGAGGCATTTTTATAAGGTATAAGACTATTCGGCAATATTCCGCATGGAAATTAGTATCCGTTCAGTGCTTAAAGTCTCCAGCTTTGGAATATGTACAAAAATCTTGCCAATATTTGCCACAGCCAAAAAAACATTGATTTAAATAGATTCTTAAACGAAATGGTCTTTACCCTATAACACCCATCCTCGCTCAAATATCGTCTATAATATACAATTTACTTTCTTGTTCTAGCATCCTCATCCAATTGCTTGGTTTTGCACAGAATGGCCCTATTTGATCTGTGGAAAGAGTTTCAGAGTAGAGGAAAAAATATTATGTAGGAAAAACAAAATGGGGTTCCATATTAGCACCCTCTCCTCTAATAATTAATATTACTAGCAAAAAAGCACAAACATCATAAAACATAATTTTGGCCAACTTTTAGTTCTTAATACCCCTCTGTGCGCCGTCGGCGCGTGCAAAAGCAGAAATAAATAAATTTTCATTCCGGTAAAAGCGAGAACGCCGATGAACGCTGGTTGACGGCGCCTACCTGCTTTCACTGTGAACTAGCCGATTTGATAACACGCTTTAATTTTTCAAGGTTATAAGCGCGAGGCGGCGCGGCGCTACTATGTACCCATATACAGGGTGTCCCAGAAATACGTGCAAGTATTTTAACTTAACTGGTAGTATAGTTCAACCCCAGAAACACGCCTATGAGGTTTTTTTCTAAATAATTTTTTTTTGAAAATTCGGAATCTTTTGAAAATATTTTTGGAATTTTTTAGCAATTTTTTTAGCTTTTATTTAAAAAAAATAATTTCTTGATAATATGGCAACATAGGTAGTAGATTAAATTTACAAGAAAGAAAATCCAGAAAAGATCCAGTGGTTCTCAAACAAATCTCGAAGTATTGGAAAGAATGTGTAAGGACCAAGAACTATTGACTACAATAAAACGACGGAAAGCAGCATATTTTGGTCATATTTTTCGAAATAACAAATATAGTTTCCTACAGCTGATCATTGAGGGAAAGATTGAAGGACGACTAGGCATCGGGCGTAAACGGTTTTCCTGGTTGCGGAATTTGCGCCAGTGGTTTAATATAGGAAAGGCCAGTGCAATTATCCGTTTGGCTCAAGACAGGGAGGAATCCCAATTGATGTCGCCAACCTCCGATGAGGAGAAGGCACACGAAGAAGAAGGTTCTCAAAATTTTAGCAAAAAATAATTTTTTTTTGGAAATTTTCAAAGTAAAATAACTCCATTATTTTGGACTTATTTGAAAAATGATAAAGAGAAAATATGTTTCTTTTATCGAGATCTACCACCCTTTAAAATACTTGCATTTATTTCTGGGATACCCTGTTTATAACAATACACGTGATGCTTATACGCAAAGTTGGGAACGATGTCAAGAATAGGTGCCCAGATTGGCGCTGACTACCAGTAAGCGGCAAACCCGCTTGCACTGTGTTCGCACACTATGAGTCATACTCCGGCGACGCCGACCTTCTAGAACGGCTAAGAATTGACGGGACAAAACTCAGTAATTTTGGAAAAAAACGTATTATAGCTTATATCGCTGAAAAGCTTAAAAAATGGCGCTTTTTATGGAGCGATGGTCAACTATGGTTTTCATTTAAAAAAACATATGTTTGTCTCATATGTCAAAAATGACAGGCTTGAGAAAAAATCGGAGAACAAAAACTCATTAGGGATGTGATTATCTACAACTTTTATCTGAAAACTTTTTGTCTAAAATAGATGATAATGGACTTAGGGGCAATTTTTAAAATAGCCAAAATTTGTTTTTTTCTGAATATCTAGTAAGCCATGAACTTTTTCAAAAATCTGAAAGGCGCATATTTATGACCCCACAAAACTGCAATTCTTTCTCAATTTAACCAACTCTCTATCTCCAGTAGTTTCCGAGATACTTATAGAGAACATCGTAGGAAACTCACCCTGTATGTCTAAAATTTAATTACATCAATTGACATGAACACATTAACACCCATGCACATTTTTAAAATTATAAATAAAATTCCCTACATTATATTTTTACACGTTTTGAATAAAGTTAGACCGGCACTGATAAATCGGAATTTAAGTCGGCCATTCTAAGACCATTCTAAGATTCTTGATATGCTCCTCTCTTAATATTTTTATTTAAAGAGGCCCACTGATCTCAGACACACTCTAAAACGCGTATTTGACAAATGATGCTGACGTACCGTTGAACAATCGCTGAACAGTCTATACTTACGGAAACGCTTATGCTAATCAGACTTAATTGCGGAAGATACTGAAGGTGACAGAACAGTGGCTTGGAGTTTCTGGATATCGCTTAAAGTAGTGTGACCCTGTTCATCGAACTCCTTCCACCGGATATAGTTTTGTCTCATGTACGTGAGCAGTTCGGGCATGTCGATGAAGGCTGAAAAATATTAAATTAGGTAATATTATATTGCACAACTATATTGAAATTTAGTATGCAATAAAATGTAAATAATCAAATAAATGTTAAAAAACATGTATTTTTCAGGCTTTCTTAAAAAATTATTAAAAATACAAGAATTGTCCTGAAATCAAAACTATATTAGCTATTTACTTTAGATGGTCTTACTTTGCTATAAATATGGTAATCGTAAATTATACAAGATGTTCAAAATTCTACGCCAAACATTCTAAAATATAAAATAATTTTTCTTCGTTTTGTTAAATGGAAAACTCTGTATATTATTTTTTCAATAGATGGAAAATTAAAAAATGAACCTTTTTTGTATTTAGAGTATTTCAAAATTTTTAACGGTTTCGCAGATATTTGCGGTTTTATATTTCATATATGGCATTTCCCACAGTCATTTTTTATCAAAGCCACCCAATGATTTTTGGCTGGTATTTTACCTTTGAAAGAGCTATATTAAATAATACTGCGTGTATCTGCCAAACCTTTAAAAAAATTTAAATCCTTTAAATACAAAAAATGTTCATTTTTTAATTATGCATAGAAAACATAGAAAAATTATTTTATCTACGTCAGTGGGTTAATAAGCTCTTAACTCACGCATTTTGAGTGAATTAAGAGCTTCTTAATTCACGCATTTTCATTACCCCGCACACCTTTTTTTTCATTTCCATAGTTGTGTACTTTTTTTCGGTGCACCATTTTTCATATACTCTGTATTTTTTTTCTCAGGTAAGATTTCGACAGATGATGACAGAAGAAAAGTAGATGACGTCCATACCAATCTATTTATTTTACTAAAAAAAGTTTCTAATAATTTTTAAGTTAACTATGGATGGGTTTAAATATAAATCCGTCATACGTCGTCTCTTGTTGTTTTAACCAGTTTCATTGGTTTATTTCAAAAATGACAGATCGTATTTCAATTTTATTGGTTTGACGGAAAGTTGAACGACAAACGGACGCCGATGCGTATGAACTCGCCATTAGATTTTTGAGGCTTGTCAAAGTCTTGCCAAATTATAGGTTATAATTTTGTGTCAACTTATGTTAAATAACCTGCGTTTTGGAAGATGATGCATTTTGATTCGTGTTATTACATATATTTTGTGTCTTGTGAAGTCAAGGAGAGGAAAAACCGAGGGAAAATTAACTGTTCTCGACCCAGAGCACAATTTATAGTTAATACTCGGTTCTCAGGCAGAAAGTTTTATACACCAATAAAGTTACCATCAATAAAGTTTGTATACCATCTCATTATAGATAAGTGCATCTCGTATATGGTACAAAGATCGTACTAAACATATACTAAAAACTGGAGTATCTGTAAAATAACGACATCACACGATAGGTAAATAATGGATTTTAGTACTGTAGAAAAATAATGTCAAAAGGTTGTAGTTTAAAAAAATTAAGATTAAGGTTAATTAATCAACCTTTAAGGTATAAAATTCGGTAATGTTATTATTAATAAAATAGTTTGTTTTATTTATGTTTTTTTATTTATTCCTGTGGAATATTACAAATTTGTATTTGTACATAAGTTATATTGATAAATATAGTAATAAATGCGGGAAGATCCTTGAAGCTTTATGCCGGGACTACACCAAACTATGCCAATTCGGCGGCCTGTGTCGCCGGCCACAGTCGGCGAGTCAGATTGCTAAAATCATTAAAAAGTTAGGGCAACCAAGATTCGGCGGCCCGACTCGTGCGGCTCGAAATTCTAGCGGCCAACTGTCGGTAAAGATCAAACAACATCGAGCAACTGGAACGGGCGCGGCGACCAGTCCTCGTTCAGTCGTACGGCGAAATTTCTATAGAGACAAGCGTTAATTATTTCCTTTAAACAATGGATGGGGAAGAAAAAACGAAAAACATAGAACCGGAATGGAGTGATAAGAAAGTCATATTATTGATTGAACGTTACCATAAAGAGGACAATTTATGGAATCCGAAAAATGAATTATATAAAAATAGAAATAAGCGGCATGATTCACTGATGTCAATATCAGACGCTTTGCATATTGAAAAATCAGAAATTGAACGTAAAATAAAAAATATTACTGTCAGTTCTACAAAGAAAAGAAAAAAGTCGAAACTAAAAAATCTGGTTCTGCGTCTCAAGAAGTTTATAAGCCAAAATGGTTTGCTTATCAGTACTTGTTATTTTTAAGTGATAAAAATACACCACGGGAAAGTATTGATAATTTTCAGGTAAGTAAAACGATTAATTTATTTCATAAAAAATCTATTATCTACATTTTGTTAGATACAATGCATATATAGGGTGTTCCAAACTAACAAAAACAAATAAAATAGGTAAGGAATGATTCAATCTCTTCGTAAAAATAAAGGATAGTTTGTTATACAGGGTGGTCCGAACTGTATTCCGGAAACTTCGGCAGCATATTCTACAGATAAAAATGCAGATAAAAATAAGTGAAAAAGTTTGGTAAATGTATGTCCTAAAATGCTTAGTTTCGGAAATACAGGGTGTAGAAGTTTCATTTTTTTAGACTTTTTCCAAATAATTTTTGAATTAACGACAATAATTGGATGAAAATTGGTGTCTGGGGGAGGTTTTTGACATGAGAAATTTGATTTTGATGTCAATAAGACACCTATTTGTAAGGGGCGCCACCTACATGTGTTACGCCCGTTATATAAAAAACGTGGTGAATTTATATTTTTTTACTCGGTAATTTTATACAGGTACGGACGAAAAGTTACTGCTTTTCAACCCAATTAAAAAAATAGGTAGGTGGCGCCCTCTACAAGTAGGAGTCATATTGACATTAAAATCAAATTTCTCATATCAAAAAAATTCCTAGACACCAATTTTCATCTAAATATTGACGTTACTTCAGAAATTATTTGGAAAAAATCGAAATAAAAATGAAACTTCTACACCCTGTATCTCGAAACTAAGCATTTTAGGACATACATTTATATACGAACTTTTACTTATTTTATCTGCAGAATATGCTGCCGAAGTTTCCGGAATACAATTCGGACCACACTATAAACGTTGAGTACAAGCGCGGTTTTAGGAGTAATGGGGGTAATTATCCCCAGACCGATCAAACTTCAAAAATTAAGCTTTCAAAACGTAAAAAATAGTTTTTTGCTTAAAACAAATAGTTTTTTAGGCGTAAAAATCGTTTCTTATGTGTAAAAAATAGATTTACACGCAAACATATGTTTTTTACATGCAAAAAAACTATTTTTTATATGTAAAAAATATATTTTTTTATTTATTACTTTTTCAACATTTTAAACTACACTTTTTCAAACATGTCCTCCAAATTCTTCAAACGTTTCACTTCAAATATAAGCACGTAGTGCACAAACATTTTTTATTTAAAATTACTCCCCCTCTAGATTTTTTTTCTAAAACCGCCTTTGGTTGGGTAAAAACTCAAGTCATATTGGAGGATAATACAGTACAAAGACGCCTGAAAACTTTTTAATTTTTATCTTAAACACAAAAAATCATGGAATTAATAAAATATGTGGGACAATTATAGTTTATCTGAAGTCAGTTGAAATAGATTGGGACTCTTAATTTCGGCACGGTCTTTGTCGGTCCCTTTGTCGGCATCATCGGGACAAAGGAATTAAGAGTCTCAGTAGTTCCAGTTGACATCGGAAATACTATACTACTATGAAAGCACACTATCTGCATATATTTTTTACTTTTTTAAGACGGTGACTGGGGTTGAAAGATGAAATTGTTTGCCCTTTTATTCCTGTTTGTGTAAATTGACTCATGAAACTTACACAACTATATAAAATAATAAAACAAAATAAAAAAACTTGCCGATTTGAAATTAAAATATTAACAAATTATTTATAATTATTAAACGTAAATAATTACATGTTAACTTTACATGTAATTTAATAAAAATAATACTCTCTACTTCATATCTTGAAAACGATTTTTTTCAAAGTTTGTAAATTAACACATAGAAGAAGGTTAGTTCAAAATTCTGTTTAGGTCATGTATATTTACTATATTTTTTTAAAAATGTTGTTTGTAAGAAAATTTAACATTGGTAGAAAATAATAATATTTGAGAGCAGCTAACTAACGTTTAATTTTTAAAATAATTTTTTTGTTCCGATACGTTTATTTAATAATGATTTTTATATTTTATTTTTTAATTTCAATTTGGTAAGTTTTTTGAAAAAGATGTAGGAGGTGAGAAAAAGTGTGTTTTAAAGCATCCTGTATAATCTACTTAGTACAACACTTCCGGTTGCTCGATATTCGTTTGATATTTACCGACATTTGGCCGAAGAAATTCTAGTCGCGCGGGTTGTGCCGCCGACTTTTGGTTACCTCTACTTTTTAATAATTTCTGCAATCTGACTCGCCGACTCTGGCCGGAGACACAGGTCGCCAGCTCTGCACAGTTTGGTGTGGTTCGGGAAAAAATACGGACGATAGAAATTAACATGGATTAATGAACCCGCCGAATTCTACCCGCAGAGAGGAGCCGCCGACTTTGCACAGTATGGTGTAGTCCCGGCATTAGAATAAGAAATAGTTCTTTTTTATACTTTTTGGTATGTGGTGTTTTGTTCTTGTTTGTTTTGTATTAACACATACCGTTTTTTATATAAAATAACTCGATTAGATTTTTTTCACTTTTATACACTTTTTTCACAATATTTTGAAGTAATCATTTGTTACTCAAATTTTAAATATTAATTTCCTGAATTTTCTACTATTTGTTCCCATTGTTCCAACTTATTTCTTTGTAAAACAAAATAAACTACTTTGAAATTAAAATGACAGACACATCTATCACTGTCAAGGATCTTGTCGTTGGACATACTACACTTAGAGTATGTATATTCATACTTCTGTTTCGATCTTGCTGGAAGCAATCCAGAAATGGCTCTCAATGCCTCTTCTTCAATGTCAGAAGAAATACTTTCCGAATCGCTCATTTTTTAAACTAGTGACATCAGTATTATTTATTGTCATATTGACATTGCCATGCATGGTGTTATTTGAACAAAGGTATTAAGATAATTGATTTTTAGGATAGGTATATAGTTAAGTACAATAATTTTTAAAATTCATTGTGTGTTTTTATAGTTAGACATAGATAAAATATTGTACAATACACGCGAGTTAACTCCATTAAGATACTTGTGTGGTTACACAACTCGTGTTACGCACTCGTGCAACTTTCACACGCGTATCTTAATGATGTTTGTATCGTAAATATCTATTATATTTTAGAAAGTTTGGCGTAGAATTTTGAACACCCTGTATGATTTAAGATTACGATATTTATAGCAAAGTAAGTATAAACCATCTAAAGTAAATACCTAATACAGTTTTTTTTTATCAGGACAGTTTTTGAATTTGTAATCATTTTTTTAAAGAAGGTTGGAAAAATATATTTTTTATTTATTTACTAATAATATCTCATATCGAAATATATTTAGTCATATTTTAGGATTCTGTAAAATGATCTGAAAGGAACCCAAAAATGCAATAATATACAGAGTGTCCTATTAAAAAAAATCATCCCTATCCACTCACACTTTTTTGAGCCAATCTATAGAAGTAAAAATATTTTCCATTAGTACATATTTTAAGTTTGCACTTAAACAAAATTCTCCATTTTTTTTTTATTCTAGGAGCTACAGATAGATGCATGACGCACTTTAAGTTTGCCTCACCTACGTAACCGTAGATGAAGCATTAATTAGTCGGTTTTCGACGAGGCTAAGTCTTGAGAATGACTACAGTCATGACTATAAATGCCAAGCCTAAGATTTGTACCATGTAATAACAAGACTTACCGTTCCAGGCCTCGAACATGTCGTTGATGATGTAGTCGACGAACCCGATCTGCGACTTGGGAATGGAACACGTGGCCCTGTCGAACATGGGCATCACCACCGGCAAGCCCCTCATTTTCTCGTCGTCCGTTTGCTGGAAGTACTCCTCGGCAATGCGGCGCGCCCACTCCACGCAGATGCGCAGGGGCCGCGTGGGATTGGACACGTCCGCGCACTTGATCATCATCCGCTTGACCAGGGTGGTGTTCTCGGGGCTGAGCAGGGCATTGTAGTCGTCCGGTTGCTAAGGGAGATTATTAAAATTACTTTAATATGGCAATAACAGCAACAATGTTTATTTAAAAAGTAGTTTCTTATACATAAGGTTTAGGTACTTTGGGAGTAGTAAGTAATCTCTCAAGTAGCATTTTTAGACATGAAATCGAAACAAAATCTCTGCTGATAAACATTGCGAAACAGTTCCGTCACATTATTGATACATATGTTTCGTAACATAAATCGTTTTTTGTTTCGAAACATTTCACCAAAATATTGTTTCGCTACATAAGCTATATAACAATAAAGAACTTAGTGTCACAAATTCTTCGAAACTTTTAAGTAACAAATATGGCTCACATTTACAGATTTCGTACCCGTTTTGTGCCTAAAAAGTTTCCATAATTTATTTGATATTTTGTCAAATATGAGAACATAACCGTACCTTAATTGTTTGGATTTTGTTTTGCAGTTTTTGCATTTAAGCATTCCTCAAGTTTTTATAGTACTATAATTAAAATAGCAGAAAGAAGGACATAATATGGTGAGTACAAATACAGATATTTTTCCTATGTAATTTTATAATTATTTATTATAAGCATTACAGAGATTTGTTTTAGGAATTAATGTAATAACAGCCACTACCCATATCCAACAGGAGACTGAAGAAAAATGCTACCAGCAAACGTTTTTTTCTCTTTTTTCCACAATGGAATACATGTTTTTATATTTTAATTGTGCTATAATAAGTAAATAAAAATGATTTAATTATTTTGACCAGAAGTTTTGATTGGCGTTGTTGACAGGTGACTAGTTTGAAATTTCTACACAGATAGCGCTAAATCGAAACATTTTGGAAACAAGGTTTCCATTTATTGCCGATTCATTTTCGAAACACGAGTTTCTCTCTTTTTAGACACAAATATGATATAATGTAGATGATTTGTGTCCGACTCCATGTTAATTTTATAAAATAATGAATTAAAATTCCGCTATGTTGGCTAGGGCGTTTTTAACTAAAAATATATGTTTTTATCGGCTGTTGAGCTTTTAAACTCATAAAAACGTGTTCTACGTACATTGATTTATATATTTTTATTTTCAGAACCATAATATAGAAATAAAAATAAAAAATCTATATTTCAAACAAAAATATTTTGTAGCAACAAAAAATAATAATATATAGAAGAGGTATTAAAAATATGATAGTAGGTATATCATTAAATTAAACGATGAATTTGCTTTTGCCAGATTTTTTTTGTACGAGAAATCATAAAAACAAAGATTTTAAAACAAAAAAAATATGGCGGTGGTCGACATTGTTGATGGTTTTCATTTTGAAATCCCCACACAGGCATAGCCTATTTTAGTTTGGTAATTTGCTTTTTCACATTTAGAAACAGTGGCTGCTTAGAACGGGAACATATTGGAAACAAATTGCAGAAAATGTTTCGAAAAATTTCCTCTAAAAGTTTTAATTTCGCATCGAAACATTTCAGGAAACGGTTAGTGCCACCGCATTAAATACACACGTAATAAAGCTATATAAAATATATAGGTTTCCAAAATGTTTCCTATTTGTGGCGTACCGTTTCCATTTTGTGTCAAGAAACAGAGACACAATTAATAGAAATATTACCTAAAATATGTTCAAAAATGCTAATTGGGCTTACTGTACTTAGGGCCTATTACACAGTAATGTTACTATTTTTGAAGGGCCAGAAGCCCAAGTACTTAAATTAACCTACTTTTTCTATTGGACTTCTGTTAAATGTTATGGTGTTGTTTTTAAACATATCTCGGTTTCTGGATATCATCATAATTTTTTTTTTCAGTACATCCATTCTACTAAAATGGTTAAAATTTCGGATTCCAAAGTTTCTAATATCCGTTTAATTAGAGGTTCACGGTATTTTCATTGATTTTATAAGCTCCTTCTGAATCAACAATTATATTAACAAGAGACCGACATACACAATCTATTTAAACGCAAGTATTTTATTTACATCTCCTTTGCTGTATTTTCAAACTATTTCTTTAACTAAATTTAATAAGAACAAGCCGACTTTAATGTTAAGCTCTTGTCTGCACTCTGTCATAAAGATAGAGCGGAAAATTTAATAAAGTCCATGAGGTACATATTTCATAAATTAGAATAAGTACGGCACGTTATGATGTATAATAGATGCCTGCATACTAAATGGGAGTAAATTTGAATTTCAAAGTTCTTTGAAAGATCAAAACAAGTGTTGCTTGAATACAACCATTTTACATTGAATTTAAAAAAAACTATATTTCATATAACAATAGAGCTAGAAAAAAAAAATCTAACAGAAAATTTTTATATAATATTATACGAAATATTAAAAAAAATAGAAATTATAGATAAGCTCTTTAGTTTTTCTTCATACGTAATTATGATTGAGTAGTTATTGTCAATTTTAAGTTTGATTTCATGTAATGCCATCTTAACAGAATGTTAACGGTTTTTATTTAGAATAGACCTTCCACTGGGCCTGAATTTTGTAAGCGATTTTAGACGCTCACCATATATGACGTTAATTTTCGCTTAGCGCGCACTTAACTACCAATTTTGGATATTCCCATTTGATGCGCTTAGCGTATTTACACTTTGCGCTAAGTGATTTGAAAAAAGGACCTTAAAGGATCGTTTTGCTTGTCGAGCTGTCAGTAAAAATAAAAAAAAAATTGTGATTTTCTGCGTTGTCTTTCTCGTTAGTGAAAAATCGAAATGCTGAGAGGCGTCTTCGATAGTCCCCTCGTATAATAAGGATAATAAGGGGACAATGAGGATAATACTAATAAGGGTAATACAAGTAAAAGACCACTGAATTTTAAGAAATAAACCAGCCAACCACAAAGGTATAGATATTATTACCGAAATTTGAAGTTAATCATATTTTGATTGATCATAAATGTCATACCTTTATGGATTGGGTATTTTAACAGCAATATATAGCAACCCTGACTCCAGAAGAAAAAAAAGGGTCAAAGGATTTATAAACTAGGTATCTCTGGGAATGACTGGGAGACGGCCAAGACTAGACTGGGAGACGGCCAAGCTAGTAATAACAGAACAAAAACTGAAATGGGCTATTGACACCTTTCAACCTTATAAAACAGCAGAAATAGATGGGATTCTTCCTGCCCTTCTAAAGAAGGGTCAGGAAATAGCTACACTCCATCTATTAAACATTACAAGAAGCAGCTTAGCGATGGGATATATACCAACCATCTGGAGAAGAGCTAAAGTCATCTTCATACCCAAAATAGGCAAAACTGACTGGGCTAACCCCAAATCATTTAGGCTTATTAGTCTCACATCGTTCATATTAAAAACGATGGAGAAAGTAGTGGACAACCATATTAGAGTAAATCATCTACAGGTTAAACCACTGCACGATAGTCAGCATGCATATAGAGCGGGCAGATCCACAGAAACTGCTCTGTACCAGTTAACTGAGCTAATACAGGCAAGCCTGGATAGCAAAGAAACAGCACTTTGTGCCTTCTTGGACACTGCAGGGGCGTTTGACAATATACCTCACAAGGTGGTCAAGCGATCTCTTGAAACAAGAGGGGTGAACAGTACGATAATTCGCTGGTTTTGGGAAATGCTCTCAACACGAACAGCAGAGGCTGAGATAGGTACCAAAACTGTAGTTGTTAAAACAACGCAAGGAACTCCACAAGGTGGAGTGACCTCCCCTACTGTGGAGCTTGGTAGTGGATGAACTACTGGAAGAATTAACTCTAGCGGGAATACACTGCATAGGGTACGCAGATGACATAGTCATCATTGCACGGGGAAAACATGAAGGCACCCTGTGTGATATTATCCAAAGAGGATTCCGCATCGCTGAGAGATGGTGCAGGACTGTCGGGCTGAGTATTAACTCAGATAAAACCGCAGTAGTGCCATTCACCAGAAAGCGAAGTTTGAAAAACTTGAAAAGAATCCATCTAGATGGAAAGGAAATACTGCCATCACAGGAAGTGAAATATCTGGGAATAGCCCTGGATAGTAAACTTCTCTGGAACAGGCATATTAAGAACATTACCAGCAAAGCCACAAAGGCTCTCATGATATGCAGAAGACTGGCGGAAAATAGGTGGGGCTGCGCCCCTAACATTTTGCGCTGGATGTATACCATGATAGTAAGACCCATGATTACTTATGGAGCAGTTGCTTGGTATACAAAACTAGAGCAACGTACAGCAAGGCAAAACCTGTGCAAAGTGCAGAGACTGGCATGTATCTGCATCACAGGTGCCATGAGAACATGTCCAACAGCAGCAATGGAGGTCATTCTAGACCAAACACCACTGCACATTGTCGTCGGTAGTTATGCCAATGCGACAATGATTAGAATGGTTACTGACGGAAACAGTACTGGGAGAATTTTCAGGTCAGGGGCTTGGAACACCCTCAAAAAGAAAATTCCACTTCTCCAACTCCCAGTGGATGACATACCAAGAATTTACAACTTTGAGAAACACCTCACTGTAGTATTGAGTAATAAAAAGGATTGGAAGAAAGAGACGCTTACTCAGCATATAAAAGACCATACCATCATGTGGTATACGGATGCTTCCAAAACCAAAGCAGGGACCAAAGAAATAGGAGTATTTGGGCCGAAAACTGAATACTCCGACCCAATGGGCACCTACCCCAGTATCCTTCAGGCAGAAATTTATCTTATATAACTATCGAAAACAGGAAATTGCCATCCTATCCGATAGTCAAGCAGCACTTAACGCGATCAACTCAGTAACCATCAATTCGAAGTTGGTCAAAGAATGCCTGGTGAAGCTCAACAAATTAGGCAAAAAATAAAGTCCTCCTACTCTGGGTGCCTGCTCACCAAGGGATAGAAGGCAATGAAAAAGCAAATGATCTAGCTAGAAAAGGAGCGAACACTCCACTAACTGGACCAGAACCGTTGTGTTTTCCAAACGGGAACCAACTGAAAGCGGAACTGAAGAATCTGGAAGACTCCATCCGTAACTTGGAATGGGTGTCCTCCAACGGTCTAAGACACTCGAAAAAGTTCCTTAGAACTTGTGACCGAGAAAAATCAAAGGTTTTCCTTGATTTAAGTAAAAACAATCTTCAGATTGTCACGGGGTTTCTAACAGGACACTGTCTCCTCAACGAACACCTCAGTAGGCTGAAACTGAGAAACAACGGCGAATGCAGATTTTGTAGGGAAAATGGGGAAACACCAGAACACCTTATCACTGAGTGCGCCGAGACGACGACCATTCGTGCCATGAACCTTGGTACGTCTGATGTGGAGGATGGGGAGCTGGCCTCTGTGGAGCCGTCTCAGATACTGGCTTTGCTTAAAGCCCTGAGACTGTATGATGAGTTATAACTCGTTATAACTCAAGAAAGGGGAACACACAATAGATCTATAAGGTCGCGGTGATTAACTCCCCTCCTAAACATTCTACATTCTACATCTCTGGGAATAATAGACGCCATTTTTAAAAAGCAATCTCTGACAATTTCAAAAACAATTGAATGAACTCCTAAAACTTGACCCACCTGTATATTCAAGAGGTACATACAACTTAGATATCTTTGCGTAGGTTCAGTGGATTAATTTTCAATTATTTTAAAAGGAACGGCATTACAGCCGTACTGCCTCAAACGTTGTAATTATTACCACGGTGCCGCAGAAAGTTTTATAATTATTTTAAACATGACGAGAGCTTTTCTTCATATATTTTATAATTAACAAAGTAAATTTTGAAAATGTATATTACCAAGTTTCCTCTAATATTTTACCTGAACATAAATTAAGTTTTCATGCAAGTAATTGCTATGTAATTATTAATGTTATAGGAGTTGTTTCAAAACAAATGTGCAAAACTTTTTTATGGTGTGTAGTAGTTTTTTTTTCTCTCTTAATTTCCTAAAGTAATATTAAATATTTATCTTTTTTAAATGCGGAAGTATTATCCAGAATTCATCATTTCAAGATGTGTTAGAGTGGTTTTCAGTTATTCTTTTTATTTTTAAGATAGGAGGGTAATGAAAGCTTTTGCTCCCAAAAGCTTACCTTCAATTACTCGAATTCAAGCAGCCCACAGTAAAGTATTACTTAATTCAGTATCAAAAGTGTTACTTTTTCTCCTCAGGTGTTTATTTTAAATTACCTTCTCTATAATTCGTTTTAGTACAACCTTTTACAGATAAACCATTTTTTAAAATTGTGTTAGAAGTAGTTTAAAAAATAATTGAGGAAATTGTTTTACCATAATATTAAAAACAATAAAATTATCTACAACTTACGTCCATATCGGAGCCGATGGAACTTCTCGGACAGAACACATTGACAAACTTCGCTAAATGTTCGAAATGTTTTGTCATTTCGGTTGCCAGAATCATATCTATAACGTTATGCCTGGCCAGTTTGTACGTGTCCCTGTCCAAGTTTTTGAATATGTTCACTCTCTCGTCACCTGAAATTTTAAAAATATTATAATTAAACGAAACAAATTTATTAACATAATGTATTGTATAACTTAAATAAGAGATGGCTTCTCAATAAGTGTGCACATGGGCACATGAACCCCCAAATTTAACACTTCTTCTTGAGAAAAAAAAATAAATGTTATGATTTTTTCATCAATTCTATTCTAAAAAACTATTCGTTATAAATACAATATTTAAATCAAATACTTCTTCAGTTATGCATAATGGTTCAACATATGATAGGCATTTCCTTACTTTTTCTGAAGTATATTTTCTATGTACAGGGTGGGTCAAATTCGACGCTTTTAAATGGAAACACCCTTTTCTATAGGAGATCGACAAAAACTAATATCGGTGTCTGGAGCTCAATTTTTGTCAAAAACATGATGGTGAAAACCGCATATCGATATCTGTTACCGTTTCGGAGTTACGGGGTGTTTTTTAAAAATATGCAATTTTAACAAATCGCTGTAACTTTTTTGCTATGGAAAATTTTGTATTTTTATGAAAACATTTCCAAAGCACCTTTTTACGTAGAATTTAATGGTTTAAGTATAATTTTTTTTAAATTAATAATTTAAGAATTATCAAGAGAAAATTCTATTTTTTATATGGGACACTCTGTATATTTTTAATTTATTGAAAAGGATTTAAAATTACCTCTCCAAAAATATAACACACTTGATATCTTGCTCGATTCCTCTTCGAGATATAGAGTATATAGAAATTCGCCCGCTTTAAATAAGTAGGCTTTGAACGGCACCGGCTGTAATGCAAAAAAATTCTAGCTATGAGCATCAATTAAAACGAAAATAACATTTGCTATGAGAGATGCAGTATTTTATAACAATTTAAAATATATTTAACCAACATCAACACATTTAAACTATATCTAATAACAATAAAAATAAATAGCAAACCAAGACATGAGATTTTGCTACAGGTGTTCGACATATCGACCGTCTTCTGTTATGGACAGACGGAGCAGTTTTTGAACATTTCTCGCGGAATTCATTAATTCGGGGGGGGGGGTGAAAGATACCCCCTCATAACTGCTAAGTATTTCTAATTCTTGTCTAGATTATACGAAAGCATAAGGAACCTTTATTCTTCCGCAAATATATCCATAGGATTAGATCCATGGGCACTAAGTTAGGCGGCCTCGACGGCCAACGGCTGGGATCTTGGTTAGCTATTCAATTATTCTTGAAATTGACTGCAAAAATTTGCTGATAACTTCAGCGTTCAGAGGCAGTGCGTCGTCTTGCTGGAAAAATATATTTTCGAGTTCCATTAAGGGCATATCATCAATAAGGCGTCCAAAGCCTACTAGTTAAAAGTGGCGAACTTTCAAAAGTTCTGTATTTCGAAGGGGATTATAACAAAATATCAAGTGTGCTATATTTTTGGAAAGCTAATTTTAAATTCTTTTCAGTTAATTAAAAATATAGAGGGCGTCCCAAATAAAAAATCAGTTTTTCTGTTGATAACTCTCAAATCATTATTTTAAAAAAAATTATGCTTAAACCATTAAATTCTACGTAAAAAGGTGCTTTGGTAATGTTTTCATAGAAATACAAAATTTTCCATAGGAAAAAAGTTACAGCGATTTGTTAAAAATGCACATTTTTGAAAAACACCCCGTAACTGATATAACAGATATTGATGTGTGGTTTTCACCATCATGTTTTTGATGAAAATTGGGCTCCAGACACCGATATTAGTTTTCGTCTATCTCCTATAGAAAAGGGTGTTTCCATTTAAAAGCGTCGAATTTGACCCACCTTGTACAGGGTGGCTCGAATTCGAAGCATATTTATATATATCATTGGAATTTCGGAAACCGTAAGGGATATACAGGATCGGTTAAATGGGGGCAAAGTTGCGCAATTTGATGCTCAATAAAATGCCGCTTCGCATTTTTTTTTTATTTTTTTTTTTTCAAAAATATTCTGGTGATGGAATTTTCTGTACGAAACGTCGGAAAATATCAAAGTGACCATATATAGTGTTTTAAGAGTGATGAAAGGATTTAATTAAATTAGAAGTCGCCAGAAGCCGAAACGTCAGAGTCAATATTTAATCACAGAGTTATACAGCAGAAAAAGTGGCCATGAAAATATGTTTTTCATTTTAAGTTATCTTAACAAATAAAGACAGGAAACAATAGAAAACAAAGTAGAAAATTCCGTTTCTTTTTCGAATATATTAGGATGTATTCGGAATTTTTCAAAATGCAATACGGAATTTTATTGAGCATCAAATTGCGCAACTTTGCCTCCATTTAATCGATCCTGTATCCCTTACGGTTTCCGAAATCCTAATGATGAGCGTCGAATTCGAGCCACCCTGTACAGATAATCAAGTGCACGCGAACCCTCAAAAATAAAGTCTCTTTTTGAGAGAAAAAAATATTATTCTTTCATTAATTCTATTTATACCAAAACAATTAGTCATAAACTTGAACCTAATACAAAAAATCTTATGGTTGAAAAGGAGAATTTCATATCTGATGTTAAAGCTTAAACATATCTACTACTTTCTAAACAAAGCTATCAATCACTATATACTGAATATGCTTAACGTGCCAATTCCATATGCGTTGTCAACTTTCATCAGATTTATTCTACCGCGTCGCCTGATCGCACATGCAATCCATACACTTGCAGCCGTTGCCGGTGATTGAATCTATCAGCATCGGATTTTAAACTTCTGATTTAACGAGCAACACAAATGGCATTGCAAAAATTATAATGAAAGAAGCGAGAGCCTCTAATCAAAATCTAATCAAAATAAATGTATTGCTCAAGCATCTATAAATGTTAGTAATGTATGGCAATGGCTTCTTTGATTTTAAAGATCATAACATAAATAAACATAACGTACCTACGTAAAAATTAAAAACAAATTAAAAATAATCATACAGAAAGTTTTAATTTTACCTTATTAAATAATTGTTATCAGGTAGCATTTGTTAGTTTTGAAGTTTAATTTATGTAATGTCATTTTAACAGAACGTCAACGGTTTTAGTAGACCGTATCTGTTTAAAAAAAAACATAGATAAATGCAACAAGTTTAGATTGGAAAGCCCGTAAAAATTTTGGGTCGCGAAATTATTTTGGGTCGCGACCGTTATACGGATCTGGCGCTGCTATAGCGGTCGCTAAGAACAACGGCAAACAAAAACAGAAATAATTTTCTTTTGTCAAAGTCAGAATCTTCAAAAATCATAATAATCTTTCAAAATCTAAACCGCTCTCATTAAAGAAATTCCGAAAAGTGTTTATAACGTACATTTTCAAAGTAATTATTGCTATCTTGTGAGTTTAATTCAAGTTTTATTTACTCCAACCGGTGATAATTGTGAAAAAGTGGCATTAAAAACTTAAAAAGCTGTGCTGTGAACTGTGAACTGTGAACTGCAAAAACCATCGTGGATCATGGCATAACGTCGGTTTCCAGTGTTTCATAGGTATTTCATACATGCGTCCTTATATAAAATAAAGTTTCTTGTATGCAACACACTGTATTTTATTTATAAAATTAAACGAAAATAATAATAAATTTGAATAAACAATATTTGGCGATATAATTCCGGAAAAAGCCGAACCGCTCCGAAATTTTCAAAAGTTTTGGGTCGCGACCGTTGCAAGAATAGCGCCAAATAGTGTTTATTACTCTATTTTTTATTACTACTATTATGACAGAAGAAAAGCAGATGACGTCCCATACCAATCTATTTATTTTACTAAAAAAAGTTTCTAATAATTTTTAAGTTATCTATGGATGGGTTTAAATATAAATCCGTCATGCGTCGTGTCTTGTTGTTTTTAACCAGTTTTATTGGTTTGACGGAACGATGAACGATAAACGGACGCCGATGAGTATGAACTCGCCTTTAGATTTTTGTCATTTTTGACGCTTGTCAAAGTCTTGCCAAATTATAGGTTAGAATTTTGTGTCAACTTTTGTTAAATACCCTGCGTTTTGGAAGATGATGCATGTTGATTCGTATTATTACGTGTGTTTTGTGTCTTTTGAAGTCAAGTGGAGGAAAAATGGAGTGAAAATTAACTGTAGACCCAGAGCACAGTTTATGGTTTATACTCGCTGCCCAGGCAGAAAGTTTTATACACCAATGAAGTTGCCATCGATAAAGTTTGTATACCATTTCGTCGTAGATAAGTGGATCTCGTATATGGTAGAAGGATCAAACTAAACACATACTAAAAACTGGAGTAGCTGTAAAATATCGACATCACACGATAGGTAAATAATGGATTTTAGTACTGCAGAAAATAATGTCAAAAGGTACTGGTTTAAAAAATTAAGATTAAAGTTAATTAATCAACCTTTAAGGTATAAAATTTGGTAGGTGTTATTATTAATAAAATAGTTTGTTTTATTTACCTATGTTGTTTTATTTATTCCTGTGGAATATTCCAAATTAGTATTTGTACATAAGTTATATTGATAAATATAATCATAAATGCCGGTAGTTTCATAAAGCTTGAAAGTAAATAATAGTTCTTTTTATATTTTTTTGGTATGTATTGTCTTGTTCTTGTTTGTTTTGTATTAACACATACCGTTTTTATTAAATAAAATAACTCGATTACATTTTTTCAGTTTTATACAGTTTTTTTCACAATATTTTGAAGTAATCACTTGTCATCTTGTCAATCAAATTTTAAATATATCCTGCAATGCGTTCCAGTTGAACCAACTTATTTCTTTGTAAAATAAAATAAACTACTTTGAAATTAAAATGACAGACACATCTATCACTGTCAAGGATCACTGTCACTTTCCAATCTAAACTTGTTTCATTTATCTATGAAAAAAACTAAAGTGTTCTCGAATAGTTGCATTTAGATATTTTAAATGATTTTTTCTTTGTTCTTTGTATTTTTTCCTTCCGACGACGGAAAGAGATAAACTTTTCGAAACGTTAAGCATTTTTTTGTCCGTTTTGTCCGGCAAATTTGTTTATTAGTAAGCCACTGCTGACAATTAGTCTCCGTTGGATTAATGCAGCAGTGTTTACAAAAAATAACTATTTTATTTTGTAGATTTTCTTACAGTGGCGAAATACCCATAGGAGATTCTTGGAGAGATAAATGACATTGGCGTGTAATAATTAAACACAATAAATTTTATGACATGTTTTTTTAGCTTTTCAATAAAATAAGATATGAAAAGAGTTCTTTCTAAGATTGTGTACCTCTAAATGTAAACTAAGTTACTTAATTATTCAAATTAAAATGATCCAAAATATCTTTTGAGATAAGAAGAAAATTATTTAGTCCCCTTTGGAGATTGTTTCGATTTCGGCCATTTTATTTAAAACACGTCAGCAAAAATTTATTCCCCTTTGCCTTATCAATTACATTTATTTAAGCTCTAGGATTAACTAAAGGCTAGAGCTTAAAGCCCGCCTCTTTCCATAAATCATAAAACGTATACATTCAAGCACATATTTCAAGCATTTCAAAAGGTATTGAAATTTACAGCATAAATCTCTCCGCCATTGAATGAAACGAAAGCAAATTTCTAAAACCTGATAAAATACATTAGTTATTAAATTTATATAAAAGTTTACGACTTCTGGCATATGAATAGTTGTAGTTGTCATTTTTTTTTATTGTTATTTTAACTGTTATTTTAATAATTATTGGGGTTCACAATAGTTCCTCACAAATAATTTCACGACACCGTGTTTTCTTGTATGCAAAATAGAATATAAATATGCTTTTGTTAGAAAATAGACTTTAGTTAGTAGTTATAAAAAACTACTAGTTGAGACTTGCTCATTTCGCTGTGAAGAACCTTTGTCAAGTTATACAGTATGACTCCGGATTGTCTTTACAGAAGAAAAATTGTTTTTTTATTATTGACATTTTGAGAAAAATACACTCTTCATGAAACTTCTTGCTTGATATAAATGGCGTTTTCGCGCCAATTTTCATCTGTAATTTTTTGCTGTAATTTTTTTATTCCAGCCCGTCAACGGAGAAAAATCGTACGATAACGGACGTTTTCACACTTTTTTGACAAATTTCATCTGACATTAATAAAAATATCGTACAAGAGCTAGCAACGTCGGGAAAACGAGAATTTTAAGAAAGCTGTTTTTTAAATATATTTTTGCTATGTTCTTCTGTGCTCTCCTGATCAAAGTACGGGCCATCTTGCAACCGGAAGACTACTGCGGTTCACTACTGCGCATCACATCCCGTTTTCGTGTGTTTTATGGGATTTCTCGTTTATTAGTAGAGATACAATGACGCGATTTTCACATTACTTTGCTACTTTCTTATGAAACTAAATATGCTACACATATGTTTTTCCCGAGGGGTAAACCGCAGAGGAATTATGGTGTACACTATGAAGGAATTCTACAGAAATTCCAAGGAATTACGAGGAATTCCTAGGAAATACTAGGAATTCCAATGATTTCCGTAAGAATTCCGATGAATTCCAAGGAATTCCTTAGGAACTTAGAGGCATTCCACAGGAATTAAGAGGAATTACAAGCAACTTTATAAAAAATTAACGAACATTAGTAGACCATGAATACTAGAATAGGTAGTACTGAATTTAAAGAAAAACGTTTTGCAGGCGATTTTTTACTATCTGTTTTTCGTTTCCGAATCGCTTCCAAAATTTCCTAATATCAAATATCTACAGGTTAGATATTCTTTTAATTTAATATTGTACCCTCGATTATATATCTAAAATATATTCCAATAGTACGGCAGAACCACCCCCGAGAGATCTACTTATAACGTTCCCTGATTTCGCCATTTTAAAGAAACCCTCATAAGATTTTTTTTATTCACTCATTTTATACTCAGAAAGTTGTTTTTTTCATTTCCTCGGAATAATACCTAGGTATACTATAGGGAAATTAATTCAACTTTGGGTGCACTTCATCAATGACACCATGCGTAATCTTATGGAATTTACTGATGATCGTATTATGACGTGCAACTGAAGTTTTATTAATTTCCTTTCCTATAGATACAACTAGGTACCTATCATTTTCAAAAAATCCCGAGGAAAATTAATTTTAATAAGTAAGTGCCGACATATTTCCAGTATTTTCACCTATTAGTCCTAAAATTTAACTAAAAAACGTAAATCTCGTAATAGCACTTTTTATTGTTAGATCTAGTACTTATAGAGACATTAGACATTTATAAAAATCACGAGAAAATTCATTGCGGAACTGCGAAACCGAGGTGGCAACGCTGATTCAGAGTTACCGAGTTCGTACCAAGGAATTCTAAGGAAGACCTTGAATGATTGACCTTGACCTTGAAGACCAAGGAATTCCAAGGAATTCCGAAGGAACTACGAGAAATTCTGAGGAATTATTTGAGTAAAAGGAATTACGGTGTATACTTTTCCCTCTGCGGTTTACCCCTCGGTTTGTCCTAACCTCCTTAATTCCTGAAATACAGGGCGAACTTGCGATGCGCAGTGATAAATAGATGTTGAATACAGATATGGGATACGCAGTAGTGAACGCATCGTCTACCGGCGGCAGCCAGACGGTCCGCACTCTGTTTAGAAGAGCATAGCAAAAATATATTGTCAAGGTGTATGTGGCGCCATCTGTCGGAGAAGCGAGCAACTAAAACCGCAACGTGTCAAGAAACCTGAAGACATTATTTTGTTGTAGCGCCATCTTTTAATCAAGTCGACAAGTAAGCGAAGCAGACAATAGAATGTACTAGTAGATGGCGGACCCGTCCCGATAATTTTGGATTGTTCGCGAAACACTCACCACAGCTATATAAAAGGAGCGCTTACGACAGTTGGAAAAGTCTGAAGATAGTCTGAAGTCTGAAGTTTGAAAATACCGCGAAATACCGTTACAGTAATAGTAGTTGCATAAGTTGTGTTGTAAATAGTATAAGTTGTGTGTACAGAGTGAAACAAATAAATTCGTTAAGTATTTTATCGTGAGTTTAAATAGTGGACCCACGGAATCCGTAACAATATTAAAGAACCTACTTTCTTAAAATTCCTTAAAATTCTCCCTCAAAAACGTTGCTAGCTCTTAGACGATAAGTAAAATATCGAAACCGTTATGGAAATGAAAATACAAAATGACACCTATCACAAGCAAATCGTACATCGGATGAATGGAGGTATGAAAATGCAATAAATTTAAAAACTGCGTAATTTTTTAACCAATCGAAGTCTTTAAATTCAACCAATAAAATTAATATCGTATTATCGTATTGTCGGACAACGGATGCATGAAAACCAAGCTTAACAGTGTGGTTTAAAAATAACGGTATCGCTCATCCCTATCCAGAAAACATTTTAATCGTAGATTTAGAGATTGAATTTGACTCGGCTTGAGAACGTAACACAGAATACAAAGATGCAGTACAAATTAATAATAAAATAATGATAATTAAAAAAGGATAGTGATTTTTATTTATCTAAAATCGTTCAGGAAGCTACCCAAGCAGCATTTGGACGTCGGGACAACGTTGTGTCACGCGACCAAACGTCGGGGCGCAACGTCGGCACAACCTCGTGCCAACCCTAGTCTGCACTAGTTTGGAGAATAATTTTTGGGTCGAAACGACGTTGGATACCGACGTTGGCTAGAAGCCTAATTTAGGTACAAACTGCAACGTTGTTTAAAATCCTAATTCACAGAAATACAAAACTAATATGGTGTCTAAGTCGCGTTTTATCCTAAATTGGGATAATTATAGTAAAAATATTATTTTTATGCTTTAGTTAGAGACATATGTGAGATGGCAGTGAAGGAAAAACAAAACAAAAAGGATATTTAAGTGTGGAGGATGTTTGAAGATCATAATTATTGAAACACTTTAACCGACTCTGTAACTCGTTACCCAAGGCAAAAGTTAAAACGCAAACAACTTTATTGATAAATGTATTGTTTCTACTTTGAAAAAATACTAATGGGCCTTAAAATTAAAAGAAGTTTTAAAAATTTTTCTTGAATTTTTTTTATTAAAATGAGAATAATTTATTCGCAGTCGAAAAATTGTTTCCGCGTGTTCTTTAGGGTCAAATATTTCAGGTTAATGTATTCAAAAAAGCAGGAATTAACTATTTTAGGAACGAAACATTTTCTTATTTAACAACATGGCGGCTTTTCACTTTGTTGTTTTGGAGATTAAGATGGAGTAGTTCAAGTAGTCGGATACTGGACTAACAAAGTCGCAGTTCGGCCTTTAACAGGTAGTATACTAGTCGCAAGATTGCCTAATTTAGCCATCCTAGAGTCAGCTTGCGCGCCACTCTATAATCTAAATAAACGAGGGAGGGAGTGGATAAACTATCGGTAATATATGTCGATGTATATTTAAATTTAGTTTTATATGTAACTACCTTTATGTCCCATTTTAATTAAGTTTTTTTTTATAAAAACAAAAACAACACTGAACTGTCTGACTGAACAGAACAATGAAGTGAAAATTTAAGATTTAAGGTTATGGTTCAATACAGTTGCAAAAAGGTAGTGACTCGACGTGCTACCAACGTAAGAATAAGGAAATCTAAACAACGTTAGATTTTAATAGTTAATTAGTAAAACAGACGACGTTTGCATAACGTTGGAATAGGTCCTGAAACTGACGTCGGAAAACTCTATATTGTCCAACGTTGTAACTACGTTGTCCGAATCATCTAAAGATCACTTAAGTAAAAAAGGTTACAAGACAACGTTTATTCGACGTCGCAGAAGCTTCTACTTTGCTGTAGTACTAGTCCAACATCGGCACAACGTTATAAAAACGTTTAAATTTATTTTAATACCCAAGGTAGGGAGCTAACTATTTTTTGTAACTAATCCAACGTTGTGTTTAGTAAACATGTGGTCGCAAGTCGTGAAAATGCTACTTGGCTATAAAAAGAAGAAATTGCTACACACATCTGGAAGAATAAATCTAATTTAAATAACATCAGCGCCAGTAATAAGTAATCTTACCCAGAGTCAATTTGAACATGAGAGCTGAATGGTGCGACTCCAGCACCGTGACGTCATTATAGAGGATCGCCAGGGGGTTGTTGGAATTGGAGAGGAAGGCGCTGGACTTGCCGGGATGGTCCAGGTCGTGGGCGGCCGCGGCGATCAGGCTCGTGGCCTCGTCCAACGGTTCCATGATCGATTTCATCCGTTCCTTTTCCAGAAAGCCAGCCGTCGCCTTAAACAAAACACTAAATAAATTAAGTAACTTCTATATTACGGAATTACATTTACAGGGTGGCACATTAGTGCGATCAAGTCCAATATCGTCGTTGTTGACAAAGATATGAAAAATCTTTGTCAACAACGTTTTATACGTGGTGGTCCCTATGTATTCGGGAAACTTCGGCAGCATAATCTGCAGATGAAAATAAGTAAAAAAGTTTGTACAAATGTACGACCAAAAATGCTTAGTTTCGGAGATACAGGGTGTAGAAGTTTCATTTTTATTTCGATTTTTTCCAAATAATTTCTGAAGTAATGTGAATATTTGGGTGAAAAGTGGTGTCTAGGAATTTTTTAGCATGAAGAATTTGATTTTGATGTCAATATGACTCCTATTCATAGGGGGCGCCACCTACATGTATTTTAACTGTTTTCAAGAGTAATAACTTTTCGTCCGTACCAGTATAAAACTATTGAGTGAAAAAATGTACATTTCCATGATTTTTTACGTAAAAAATGTCACTTGGTAAAAATCGCTATGAGTCCAAATCTACAACCTAACCCAACCGTTCTCAAGATATTTAGAATGGAAATAGTTAATACATATCATTATTGAGAAAAAAGAAACATGTTGAGTAGATAGTTATTTGACTGAAATTATAAATTTGGGAACTTTTCATTTTTTTAAATTAATCATAAATTTTTCTTCAAAAAAATGATGATAAAACAGTTTCTGTTGAAGTTTTGGCACAAAAACATTTCAAATTTATGATTTCAGTCTAATAACTATTTAGTCAACATCTCTCTCTCTCTCTCTTTCTGTCTTTATTCCTACAAGAGGAATGTAGTGGTCAGGTGATGTGTGAGGTTTGTCTCCATAATTCCCTGTCTTGTGCTTCATGTACAAGCGTGTGCAGTGGCTTGTGGGTGATCTTTGATAGCTGGTCTATCCATCGGGAGGGCGAGCGGCCTCTTGGTCTTCTTCCCGGAACCTTGCCCGCCCTGCTCTCTTTAAGGAAGCTTTTCAATACCTCATAACGTGACCGAAATATTTAAGCATACGTGACTGTATAGAAGTTGAGAGGCGTTCTGTGATGTTCAGTTCTTGGACTATGGATTCATTGGTTCGCCGGGCAGTCCAGGGAATTCTGAGCATTCGTCGCCAACAGTACATCTCAGTTGCGTCAATTTTTTTCATTTCTGACTGTCTCATCATCCAGGACTCGGAGCCATACATTAATATAGGAAATATTAGGCAGTGAACAAGCCTTTTTTTTAAGTGTTTAGATATGTTTTTGTCTCGCCATATCTTTGAGAGTTTTCGCACTGCCACTCTAAGTGACCCAAGATATATATATAATGTCGATAATCATAATTTTTGTTTTAGAGGGATTAATTTCAAGTCCAAGTTTCTCGCTTTCGTCTTCAACCAATTTTATAAGCTGCAGTAACTCTTCTTCGTTTCCTGCTAGAAGGACCGTATCGTCTGCAAATCTGAGGTTAGTAATTTTGTGACCATTAATTGTTGTCCGCCCTTGCCAATGTTCCAATGCCCGTCTCATGATATATTCAGTATATATATTGAATAACTGAGGAGATAGTATGCACCCCTGCCTAACACCACAGGTAGGCTGGAAGTCTTTCGAAGTAACGCCATTGATGGTAATTCTACTTTTGGTTTTTTAGTCAACATATGTTTAATTTATGTCAATAATGACAAGTTTTGATAATTTCGATTCCAAATATCTAGAGAACCTTTACTCGTAGCGATTTCTTCCAAGAGACCTTTTTTACGTAAAAAACGTCGTAAATGTATATTTTTTAATCAGTAGTTTTATACAGGAACAGACAAAAAGTTATTACTCTTCAAACCAGTTAAAAAATATGTAAGTGACGCCCTCTACTAGTAGGAGTCATATTGACATCAAAATCAAATTTCTCATGTCAAAAAACACCCAGACACCAATTTTCATCCAAATATTGACGTTACTTTGAAATTATTTGGAAAAAATCAGAAAATAAAAATGGAAACTTCACACCTGTATCTCAAAACTAATCATTTTAGGACATACATTTATACGAACTTTTTTACTTATTTTTATCTGCAGAATATGCTGCCGAAGTTTCCGGACTACAGTTCAGACCAACTTGTATAACTTAGACGCCTCATAGTTGTTTATAAAATGATTATATATAAATACTTGTTATTGTGGAAACTAAAAAATGACGTGATAATTTTAATTACTGACCCAGTAGACTTCTTTATAAACTATATAACCAAATAGAGGCAGATTGCATATATTATGTGTATCTTTGGTATATTATTGATATAATTGTGATTAACTATAGGGGACCTTAAGGTTTTAAAATTATGAAAAACTTAACTTCATAGACGAATAGGTAAAAACACCATTAGCGGCCATTTTCTTATCCAATTTGTTTTCAAAAAATATTTTTTTGTGATATTGTTCTATAAATATAAATAAATAAATAAATAAATAAATGCCTTTATTGTCAAAATTTTTTTCAATTTGTAGACAAAGATAAACTAACAAACAGAGTAAAAAAACAAGGTACACAAACAAACAAACAAAAGATAATACAAAACATTATACAAATAATATTGTCAGTCTTATTGTTAAAATAAACATTTATAAATGTTTATAATGTCAAAGAACAAAAAAATAAAAAGAATATTCAAAAATATTTAGCTAGTTTATAGTAAAATATCAATGACCTCTAAATAAATTCATTTCGATGTCATTAGTAAATATAGCAATAGCAAACATTAGACCAGTGTTTACAAGATCAAATTCGATTTTCAAAATATAATTCATTTACGGCGTAGAAAGCCTTGTCTAGTAAATAAGAGTTCAATGCTTTGCAAAATGAAAAAAATGATGTTATGAATTTGATTTCAAATGGCAGGTGATTGAGGTGAACTCTGAGCGTGGGGTAGGTAGATAAAGATCTTGCTCCGCGTTCCTGAGTAGATAAGTGTGAGATGGCCTTTCTTGAGAAGCTGATACATGTTTACGTATTAGGCAAACGGATTCAAATATAAATAAGGAAGGAAGAGTCAATATTTTTAATTCTTTAAAAAAGTCTCGGCAATGAGTTCTGCTGTTTAGTCCCAGTGAATATCGAACAGCTCTCTTCTGTAGCTTGAAAATGCGGTCAAATTGAGTCGCACAACACGTACCCCAGAATGGATAGTACCTGAGGTGTATAGTACCTGAGGTGCGACTCAAAAAGTGCATAATAAACAGTTCTAGCCACTGACAAGTTAAGCTCCTTAGAAACAGACCTTAATGCAAAACAGGCAGAGCTCAATTTTTTCGACAAAGCTTCGATATGTATGTCCCATTTCAGAGAATTGTCCACAACAAGCCCTAAGAATTTTACGGATTTTACGACGTCAATGGTGGTGTTGTCAAGTACAAAAGGCTGCAACGAGTTTTTATACGACAAAGCTTTAGTTTTAGAAATGTTGAGACTCAGGAGGTTCGAATCGCACCAAGATTTAATGGTGATTAAGTCATTTGATATAATCCTATGAAGTGCCCTGATGTCCTTGTTGCTCCAAGTGAAGCTAGTGTCGTCCGCAAAAAGACATATTTTGCCAATGATGTTTATGTTAGCGATGTCGTTAATAAAAAGACGAAACAAAATAGGGCCTAGTACTGAGCCTTGTGGTACTCCACATTCTATTGGCTTGCTAGAAGACAACGTGGTATCCACCCTCACAAGTTCACTTCTGTTGCTCAGATCTAAACTATTGAGAAAAATAAAAAGACGTTTATGAATAATACTACCAACCACAAGTTAAATTAACTAATTAAGAACTTTAAAAGTATACCAAGGAAGTTAGCTGAATAAAAGTTAGGTTAGAACCTTGAAAGTAACAATTTATTCTAAAATTAATTGTTGAAAATACATAAAATTTTAATGGCGCATAATTTTTTAGGGCCTATCATATTTACATCTCACAGAAAAATTTTCTCCGCAGACATAATTATCTTGCGAATCCAGTAATCCACTTCTTACCAATAACTTATTTACATTTACTAGGAAGTGCATATATGTAGGTATTTCATCCATATTGGATTAATGTTCAAACGGCCATGCCAGTTATTACTACACTTGTTTGTCTTCCTGGTTCATTATTGGAAAATTCATTTACATACACATATTAAAAAGAAAAATACTTTACCTTATTCCTTCTCTTTCTTTCCCATGTTAAAATATAGGTAGTATAAATTAGGTCTATTTTTAGTAAAATTTTCCTCTATTTTACCATGTTATGACCTCAGGTCGGTTATTTTTGACTTCATAGCCCATATTTCATACAAGACATTATAACCTGTTAAACTCTCCATTAAACTCCAAATTACTTTAGTTTTATTCCCCACTTTGGGAATTTTAACGTCAATTCTTGGAAATTTCGACCAATTTCCAGTTGGTCAATAATAGTCCAGGTGGTTAATTTAACGTAATTTTAACTTCAAATGTTTGTTGGGTATGTTAAAGGAAAATAGCTTTCATTTGTGATATTTTATATTTTTTGGTATGTAGTAGTCTTGTTCTTGTTTGTTTTGTATTAACACATACCGTTTTATTAAATAAAAATAACTCGATTACCTTTTTTTTCAGTTTTCACAGTTTTTTCTACAATATTTTGAAGTAATCACTTGTCATCTTGTCAATCAAATTTTAAATATTTCCTGCTATGCGTTCCAGTTGTACCAACTTATTTCTTTGTAAAATAAAATAAACTACTTTGAAATTAAAATGACAGACACATCTATCACTGTCAAGGATCTTCTCGTTGGACAGACTATAATATATTTTTACAATTAATAGATATCGATATCAAAATAATGCAAACAAATGCTTTCATCAAAGTTCATCAAATCGGAGTGAAATTGTTTCATTCTTAATTTTTATTATACACTTTGTATGAAAAAAATTATACTTATAGTGCATACTTATACAGAGTGTCCCAGAAATAAG